TACTTACATGAATGGTATTCAGCTTTGTTCAGGTATTTTCCCACGTCATTACAGTTGTGCTTTTAAAGTTGTAGCTGTAGTACCTCTTATGTAGGGCAGGACAGCTGTTCCATAGGTCTGTTCATCTCCTAGGTCTCCATTATGTCTCAGTGTGTTTTTGTGGATCAAGCCGGTGATTTTGCTTTTGTGGAAGCCGTTGGCTGTCAGTACTTTAGTCAGGGTGCATAGTTCAGTCTTTATGTGTGTCTTGTCTGCCAGGCAGTAGCAATCAGCGCAGGTTTGTTAAAAATAGATCATGCCAAACCAATTTCATTTCATTCTTCAACATAGTGACTATTACAGTAGTAGACCAGCGAAATACTGTCGACATAATATACTTAGACTTCAGGCTAAAATATGAAGAACGGTCACAGGAACTGGGCATGGCTAGTCTAGTGAAGAGAAGGACCAGGGGAGATATGATAGTGTGTTCCAATGTTTGAGGGGCTGCCACAGAGAGGAAGTGGTCAAGCTATTTTCCAAGGCACCTGAAGGAATAATGAAGGAATAATGGATGGAAACTGATCAAGCAGAGATTCAACCTAAAAATAAGGAGAAATTTTCTGACAGTGAGAACAATCAACCAATGGAACAGTTTGCCTTTGGAAGTTGTGGGAGCTTCATCACTGGAGGCTTTCAAGAAGAGATTGGACTGCCATTTGACAGAAATGGTCCACCTCAAACTCCATTTGTGCTGGTAGAGGAACTGCAGGCTGGTACTTTGCTTTTTCCAGGCCAGCCTCACAGGCCGGATCTAAGCATCCCTCAAGCTGAATCCAGCCCACGGGCCTTGAGTTTGACATCCCTCATCTAGAAGATAGGTACAAGATCCAAAAGGATCTTGATAGACTTGAATATCCTGTCCAACAAAATGCAGTTATTTATTTATTTATTTTGTGATTATAAGATAACAGGTATAAGTATAAACATAGTTATGAATACATGAAATGGATACATATAAGAAAAATAAAAATAAACAATAGGACAGGGATGGTAGGCACTTTAGTGCACTTATGCACACCCCCTACAAGTGGCTAAAAAAAATAAGGTTTTTCACAGGCAACAAAAACCAAATGCTTAGATATACAATAGGCGGTACCTGGTTCAACAGCAATAATTGAGAAAGGAATCTGGGAATTATAATAGACAACAATGTGAGCCAGCAGTACGCTGCAGTTGCCAAAAAGGCTGGTACAGTCCTAGGCTAATCAAAGAGGGTAAGTATCAATATTCTGTGAAGTGTTAGCACCATTTTATACTGCACTGATCAGGTCACACTTGGAACACTGCATCCAGTTTTGGTCACCATAATGCAGAAAAGATGTTGAGACTCTAGAAAGAGTACAGAAAGAGCAACAAAGATAATTAGGGGACTGGAGGCTAACCCGTACGATGAACAGTTGCAGAAACTGGGATTGTCTAGTTTAATGAAGAACTGTGGGTGACATGATAGCAGTGTTCTAATATTTGAGGAGCTGTCACAAAAAGGAGAGGATCAACCTATTCTCAAATAGAATAGGGCAGGAAAAGAAGTAATGGATGGAAGGTTTAAAAAGAGAGATCCAATCTAGAATAAGGAGAAATTACCAATCAGTGAGAATAATTAATCAGTAGAATGGCTTGCCTTCAGAAATTGTAGATACTCCATCAATGGAGGTCTTTAACAAGAAACTGGGCAACCATTTGTCTGAAATAGCATGGGGTCTCCTGCTTGCTTTGGGAGGGGAGGTAGACTAGAAGATCTCCAAGGTCCTTTCCAACTGTGTTATTCTGTATTCTACCCAGAGGAAATCTGAAACAGACTGAAAGGAAGCTCCAAACAAAAGTTGGGAAACAAAAGTACCTTGAATGAAACCACCTATGTGAGAAAAGCAAATTTCAGAATTCAGACTTGAAAGTGTCATTTAAACACAATTGTAAAGAAAAGTCCAACCAGCTGTCATGACAAGTTGAAACAGGAAACTACTTTCATTTTTTTAAATAGTAACCCCATATATTTCTGCTCTTCTTGCTTCAAGAAGCCATGGTGAAAAAAGTAGCCATTGTTGGAGCCGGGGTGAGCGGACTGACCTCCATTAAGTGCTGCCTGGAAGAGGGACTAGAGCCAACCTGTTTTGAGCAAAGTGATGACATAGGGGGATTGTGGCGATTCACAGTAAGTTATGACAGTAGAGTGTAGTAGACCCATCTCCACCATGTCCATGTGTTGTGTTGCTTAATTAGACAGCTGAAAGTTTATAAAAGTTGGCTTTTATTACAAGTTTTATTATTTAAACAGTGAAGTAACTGATCAATAAAACAATTTTTTCCCTCAGCAGGTCCCGATAAAAAGTATTCAATATATTTACCCTACCAATAATTTCAAAATATTCACAAAATATTTAATAATTGTACAATATCTATTTTCCCAATTCTTTCTTTAAATAGCAATAGCACTTGGACTTATATACTGCTTCACAGTGCTTTATGGCCCTCTCAAAGGAGTTTACAGAGTCAGCAGATTGCCCCCAACAATCTGGTCCTCATTTTTACTGACCTCGGAAGGATGGAAGGCTGAGTCAACCTTGAGCCAGTGAGACTCGAACTGCTGAACTGCTGGCAGCCGGGAGTCAGCAGAAGAAGCCTGCAGTGCTGCACTTTAACCACTGCACCTATCCAGATGGAAAACAAAACAAACTGTTTAATACACACATAATACTTATAATTCAAATAAGAAGTATAAGATGATAATGCAAAATCCAATAATTTTTTACATATCTCATTTACATGTCTCATTAACCTCAATGTTCTCCAGGCATAAACTTATGAGGAGTTATGTCATGCAAACACTAATATCAACATGACTTAATTTATTTCTTTTTACTATTATGCCCTTTATTGTGCAAAATAAGTCCCATATTTTATTCACAGTGGGCGAATCATGAAAAAATGTACTCAGCTTCCAAATATTGTACAGTATTTGATCTATTTGCCATCTTCCAGTTTTGGGGGTCTAAATCTTTGTATTTTAACAGATATTGCCTACAGATAATAGAATTACAGTTAGTGTTCTTTAATCACCTTACATATCCTTTTCATAACAAGTATTGTGCTTAATCTGAAAATGGCATAGTTTATGACTACTGAATGGCAAATATGCCTGAAAATGTTACCTGAATCCGTCTAAACTCAAAAAAATGGCATTTTACCCCTTTTTAAATTAAGAAATTAAGAAACTTAAGATTCCCAATTCCTTTTGGAACCCTGCCCAAGAATTACGGTCCCCTGGTTTCTAGTCTGATGCCTTAACAAACTGGCTTTTTAATACATAATCTTGTAATATTTTATGGATAGGACTATGTTGAAGATGGAAGACCCAGCATGTACAGGTCAATGGTTAGTAACAGCTCTAAGGAGATGTCTGCCTTCACAGATTTTCCATATCCAGAAAATTTTCCAGCCTTTTTATCCCATCACCAACTCCTGGAATATCTGAGGATGTATACAAAACATTTTGATCTCCAGAAATACATTCAATTAAAGGTAAGCTTTAAAAGTACTAGCTGAATATTAACATTTTTTTAAAAAAGTACTACATTTATTTCTAGAGACTTTGGTTCAGTGCAGTTAAAACCCAGACTTTGCCTTTCAAAGTATAAACTTTCCAGAGCAAATATATGATTTTGGCTTGTTCGCTTTTGCTCATATTTAATTCATCCATTTTCTATTTCTAATCTAAAAAGATGCCTATGAACTCAAAGCCAGATGTATTTGCAAATTCAGTCCTTTTTGGATCATCACAACTGATTATTTTCTGAAAATGTTTCAGACAAAAGTGATCAGCATAAAGAAGTGTCCTGATTTCTCTAACACTGGCCAGTGGGGAGTTGTTATAGAGGCCAATGGAAAGCAGAGCTCAACCATTTTTGATGCTGTGATGGTTTGTGTGGGCTACCTTACTGAGCCTTTATTGCCACTCAAGAGTTACCCAGGTATCTCTATTTGCAAGCATATATTTAATTTAAAAATGCGTAATCAGATATTCCAGGTTTAATATTTACTTTCAAAATGCATGGGCAGAATTCTTAAGAAGTGATCAATTGTCACTTTGCTGAACTTGTGTTCTCTAGAGTGCTTCATGGGCAGGGATTTTTGCCATTAATACATCTGTTTTATTTGTTAAATTACAGGTTGTAATATTTAAGGTAATGACAATATAATATGTATGTACATACACACCTAAGTATCTTTGTAAATATGATGGTGATGATTTTATCTGTTCAGTCAAGTCTGACTTGACAATTCTATGGGCCAGGTCTCTCCACATCTTGCACTCTTGCACTATTTCTTTGTGTTTTTCTATGCTCTGGCTGGTGTCAGCTTTGATGTTCTTTGATGGCCTGGTTTCCTTTTACCACTAACCAGTGACACTGACTAAAGTAAGTGAGACACAGTTTCATGATTTTGCCTTTTAGTGACATGTCTGGTGTTATGTGGTCCAGTACTTGCTTCTTAATTGCCTTTGCTGTCCAAGGACTTTGTAAACACAGAGACCACATTTGCAATATTAAAACAAAGAAATTGTTATGCTAAACAATTTTGGCCTTTTACAGGAGTCCCCTGGCCCATCCACAATTAATGCCTTTGAAAATTGTCATATTGCTGCAGCCATATGAGAGCTCTCTGTAAGGGCACAAAATGGAGTCTAAATCCTTCTCCAGTCCACCGTTTCCACCTCTCAGTTATAATGATCCATTGTAATTCAGTATATTGATACATAATGGAGCTCAACAAAACAATTTCTTTAAAAAATAAGAAAGTCAAGAGAGCCTTGCTGTATCCTGTTTCACATCTGCATCATTATCTTTGGCTCTGGTTTCCCTGTTAGTTTGTATTTCGCTTCCTTATGATAAGATGGTTTCATTTCTGCCAATTTAGGTTTTTCTCTGTTTTTACAAAAGTCTTTATTAAATATGCTTTAAATTTACAAAGTTGGATCTCTTAAAAATTAAGTCATCCTAATTATGCTGTCTTGCTTAAGAACTGGCACAGACAACTTGTGGCCTTCCAAATGTTGATCAACTGCTAATCCTACCAATTTTCATCTTGGTCATACTGCGATTGATAGGAATTGAAGCTTGAGAACAATTAAAACATTTGTCTACTTTAGAATTAGATAATAGTTTTGTTGGATAACCAAGCTGTAGGTAGGCCAGCATTCTTCACAAAAAACAAGGAAACCTGTGGCTACAAAGGTTGACCTTCTGCCCACTTATAAAAATCTTCACAAAAAACAAACAGAATTAGTTTACAGCAGAGAATAGCAATGGAGATAATGTAAGATAATTTATGTGACAGTATCCAGCAAAGATTGTTAGCATCAACTCTATTCCACAAACATATTGTTGAATATTGTTTTATGAAATTTAAACATGGTTATTAAATGAAGGAATATCAGCAGCCCTTAAAATCTACCCAAATGCTATCCATCTTTGTTTTTTTACATGAATATTGAGGAAAGAACTTTATGAATTTCTTAGATAGTATCTAGTTGGCAAGCTACAGTTTCAGATTTCTCACCAATAATGGGCTTTGGTATACTTTGTTAGGCTCACGTAAGGGTACTGGGATAATACATGTAAAGCTCTTTGCATATTAGGATTGCTCTATATAAATGCCACCACTGCAACCAAATTGGAATATGTTATTCTTTATTATAAGTTTTATTTGAAAGTTCATTGGGTTTGTCTTTATTTCCCCACAGGCTTAGAAAAATTTAATGGTCAGTATTTTCACAGCCGCAAATACAAAACCCCAGAAGTATTCAGAGATAAAAAGGTACTTGTGATTGGTATGGGGAATTCTGGAGTTGATATTGCTGTAGAAGCCACTCAAACAGCAAAAAAGGTAAAGTACATCAGAACTGTTTCGCTTTTGGGAACCTGACTGGGCTGTGTCTTGATTTTGATAGACAAGTTCCTCACACTTTAAAACAATACTGGTAAGAGAACAGTCACCCAGATTATTCTCTTATCAGTATTGTTCTAATGTGTGAGAAACCCAGTTCTATGTAAATCTTCCTGCAAAACATGTTCCTCAACTAATATGAATGTGAGAATAATAAAATGAGAATTTGTAATTTATTCAGTAAAAGGTGCTCCTTATTATTGTACTGAATAACTTCAGAACCTAAGATTGGTAGTGCTTATTCCACACCAAATTTAAAATGCTAACAGATGAAGTCTTCCAAGTGAAGGCATAATGCCTGTGACTAAGTGAGCCGATAACATGTTATATGGCTTAAACAAAGGGATTGTGGATACAAGCACATTCAGAATATTCCTTTGCCAGTGTTTTTACATCTATGGACTGGAAAATGTAGTTTCATAACAGCAAATATCATTTTATAAATGACAGTCTATCACTGACTTGACTATGCGAGCTACAAACTTACTGGAGTCTGGATCCATATTTCTTGGTTCATTCTGGAATTCCCCTGTGGTAGCATGATGAGGGAAAGGAGCTCAGATGCAAATTACTGCCACCCCAACTTTAGCAATACAGCTGACCTGGGGATTTTGGTCTTTCTTCCTCCCATAAGAAATAAACAAAAGCAAATTTAACAAGAAAGAAGGTTCAAATATGAGTGTGCAAGAAGACAAAGGCAGAGTTGCCTCAACAAAGTAGCTTTTTCCAAATAAGTTTTAAAAAGGAACAAAGATGCAGCATCCCCAGCAGATTTTAGTCCACTATGTGTTGCTTAGCTTAGGAACTTGTCAAGCTTGTCAAAGAAAAAGTATGACTTAAGGGACTACAAAAGAATATTTAGCTACTGTATTTACAACTTCACTGTTAGGAATTTGTTAGGCAGAGAAGATTTATTTATGTATTTATTTTTGCCGTGAAGAATGGAGCAACATGGGAAAATGCAATTCTTTTGTTTTTATGGAAAGATGAAATTTGATGTGTTTATGCTTAGATCTGAGCAGGGAGGATATGGCACTCAGTTGCAAGTGAACACTGACTGATTGCTCTAGTCTTTCTGTTCGACTATTGGTCAGAAGGAGCTGTTAATTTTTTTGGGCTCCAGATTCATAAAGATGTGTTATCCAAATATGCAAACAGCCTTGATCAGCCATCCCCAATCAATACAGCCAAGAAATGGGTTCACCCTCGGGATGCCAGCTCTCTCAGGCCTTGCAAAACACCAAAGGTCTGATCTCCAAAGAGATGATGTTCTAGAGGTGAGCATTGCTGTGTCAGAAAAGGCCATCTTCCTGGGTCCCACCCACTAACATTCTGTCACAGACAGGACCTGGAGCAGCTTCTACTTCTGCTGGATCCAACAGGATGGATAGATACCACCGGGGACAAACGGTGTCATAAGCAACATCTCCCTCATACAATCCCTTCCTATTGTTCACATTGGTTGAATATTACTAGAACCTAAAATCTGAAATATTTGGACAGCATTAAATTCCCTGTCCTCCATACAAAAGCAAGGGCATGTTTTATTTGCAGGCCATATGTTCTGCATGCAAAGAATTACAACCCATCCTTTTCCAGATTGGGCTTGGTAAATCATCTATCAGAAACATTCAGCAACAACTACAAATAATAAGTGGATGGACATGACATACAACTGTTTGATGTAGAAAAATCCTCATTTTTCTCAAAACAAGATACAGAAGAATATATTACAATAAGGTTTAGGAAAAATTCTGATTTTCTGTATTATTGTTTGAAGCTGTAAGTGGAATGATAGCTCCATCTTGTGTGAAAAACTATGCCCTGAATATTTTTTCTATAGCCAATGGAGAGATTCTTCATATGCTAAAGTACATTAACTATCTTCAGGTTTTCCCACTAAAAGCAAGACAAGGTTTTGTACAAGAAGAATGTTGTCCCATATAACCCTGACTGTACAGTTAAGATCATTTACGGAGTTCTTCTTCTGATAGTCCCTTGTAAATGATGTCACTGGAGTTTATTCACACAAAGGAATAAGGAGTATGGAGTATGAATTTCCCTCCCATTTAAATTATATTTTAAAATTTATTTTTATTAAATTTTATTTGATTTAGACCCGGGCGCCACATCTGGCCCTATGGCTGTCCTTGTCCAGTCCATGGGATTGGTGGCATTGACTACAGGGAGCAGGGCAGCTGTGGCATCAGGAGGCAGAGTAGCAGTGGTGGGTCAGGGGCTGTGGTGGTGGTCCTTCAGAACATTTCCAGTTTTTCATATGGCCCCCTGGGAGAATGTATTGCCTGTCAACTGTTCTATTGAATAGATACAATCTTATTTTTCCCCTCCAATTTAAATTACAAAAGACAAAACAATAGAATGGAAAATATGCCAAATAGTCGCAAAATACAGTATATATGAGCAATACTGAAAACTCTCAAAATTAGATCAGATGAAAATTGAATGGAGAAGTCTAAGAAAAAAATAAATATTATATGTGGATGCCAAAGTAACACAGTAGTAACTGCAAGCTTCCCCCAAAAGCAACCCATAATCTGAACACTTCCATATTTTTTTTTCCTGAGAATACCACCTTACATCTTAGTAGCAAAATGAGGGACCTCTGATGACCGACTTGGTTTATAGGTAAACTCGAGACCCTTCAGATATTACAAGACTGCAGTGTTCCAATATATAAATCAAACTGCTGGGTGTATCATCAGGATCCTCAAGGCATTGAGTTATGCATCTCTGCCCAGGCTACCCAAATGATGAAACTGAAATGTTCTCCATGTGCCTGGAGACTGTCTAGTCTGACTGTGGAAGAAACCAGCTTTGCTCAACTCTGACAAGGCTTTAGGAACCTTGGTATCTCATGATTTAGATAGCTCATAGCTCTTACTCACAGAACAGCCTTTGCAGAAATACCACCTTGTATGTTCGTTACAGCCATTCCTAGGCTGGGAGGCACTGCTCTCTGTCATTTGTGTCTTAATCAATTCCCACTTTCACTACTACAACAGGGCTGCCCTGAACAGCTTTTGGACACAGTGGCTGGTCTAAAAGGCAGCAGCACCTACAGTTCTGAGGGCATCACAGCCCACTCATGTAACACCACGATTGCATCAGCTGCACTGGCTCCCAGAGGGCTTCCAGTAGGTGCTGACTGTCAATTTCTAACTGCCCATGAAGCTTTGGCTCATCTCCCAGGCAATAGGGCCTGGTGGGTGTCAGTTTACTGTAGGTTTGACATGCATATACAAATTACATGAGGGAAATACATGGCATGGGACCAGGATGCTTGTGGGACTGCCTATCCCTGATGTTTTCTACATATCTCACTATGTCTGATGCAATGGGAACATTCTGGGTCCTCTTGATGAAGTACGGCTAGTCTTTGACTAACAATAGTTCATTTTGTGACTATTCAAAGCTACAGCAGCACTAAAAAAAGTGACTGATGATCATTTTTCACACTTACAACCCTCGCAGCATCCCGGTGGTCATGGGATAAAAATTCAGATGCTTGGCAACTGGCTCTTATTTATGACGGTTGCAGTGTCCTGAGGTCATGTGATTCCCTTTTGTAACCTTCTGAGAAGCAAAGTCAAAGCCAGGTTCATTTAACAGCTGTGTTACTAACCTAACAACTGCAGTGATGCACTTAACACTTGTGGCAGGAAAGGTCATAAATTGGTCCAAAATTCACTTAATAACTATCTCACTTAGCAACAGAAATTTTAGCCTCAATTGTGGTCATAAGCCAAGGACTACCTATAGTGTTATCTGGTGGGTCCTGGGAAGATATCTTCTCTGTCAAAGACTTTGCTTTATGGAACAGCCACCTCCTAGAGATATGGACAGCCTTTGGTTATTTCTTCCTGACCGGTGAGATCAGGCAGAGTGAGTGCCCTCTGAATCCCATTGATTAAACATTGTCATCTTGAAGGATACAAAAAAGATGCCATCTCCATCACACTGCCTGCCCTCTGAAATGCCTCTCACCCCTAGAATCCACCCTAACGACATTCAGAAAATCCTTTAAAAGTTGATTGTTCTCCCAAACATTGTGATGCAGCAGTTGTGGAATCCCCATAAATTGGGTTTTTTTTAAAAAAAAAATGGTACTGTGTTAGTCTTCCAGTCACATATTTCTATATGTCACTTGTTCTATATATGTTATTTCTTTTTTGCAATTGTAAGCTGCCCAGAGTTGTTAAGTTGGGCAGCCTCAAATCTGAAATCTATCAATCAAAATATTGGCCTTTCAGAAGCCCATGAAGTTTTGGCTCATCTCCCAGGCAATAGGGCCTGGTGGATGTCAATTTACTGTAGGTTTGACATGCATATACAAATTACATGGGGGAAATTGATATTTTATTGGGGCCTCGGCTTTGTGTGTGTGTGTGTGTGTGTGTGTGTGTGTGTGTGTGTGTGTGTGTTGAATGTTTCTTTTACATAGTGGGCATAGTTAGATGGATATTGGTTGGCCACAATATAGCCAGCAAAACTAAAAGAACCAGGTGGGCACATAGAAGAAGTACTGTAAGCACTTCCTGGATCTGTCTCAGCCCAGCATGAAGTCTGGAACTAATCTATGTAACTAACGCCTTTCAAAAGGGTCAGCACTACATGGGTTAATGTTATTTATAAAGCTTTATATCACCTCAATTACAATTGGCATTAAGCAGTTCACAGCCAAACATTATATTGTACATAATATGGGAGAGAGATAATGGATGGGTGGGTGGATGAAAACAGATTATCACCATAAGAGTCCCAAACCTGGACTGAGATACTATTAAATATTTTTGTATGAGGTGTAGATATGACTTGAGATTGTTAATTATATCAGGCTGCTGCTCTGTTTTCGTTGTTTTCTATTTTTTAGGTGATGATCAGCACAGAAAGAGGTTCTTGGGTTATAAGCCGTGTTTTTGATAATGGCTACCCCTGGGACATGGTGTTTCAAAGTCGTTTTTTGAATATTATCCGAAATAGCCTTCCTGGGTGTATCACAGTATGGATGATTGCAAACAGAGTGAGCCAATGGTTTAACCATGCAAACTATGGCTTAATTCCCAAGGACAGGTACTGGAAATAAATTGGATGCTAAAGATGGGTAGATAATAAAGTTGACAAATACCTCAAACCTCTTCCTCCCCTCCAGAATTCTTGTTGTCTTCACGTTCTGGTCCTTTCCCCTGCATTAGTGATTGTGCGTAATATAGTTGCTACCTGCTGGCCATTTATCCTGGCCACATACCTATAGTCTAGCATTCTGACTAACCAGTTCTGTATTTTTACCCCTTGAGAGATAAACCAATCTCACTGGAAATAAAGTAGTGTTGTGTTTTGTTATGTTATGTTATGTTATATAGAAAATTCTTTTTAACTTTATGTATTAAAAATCAGGTTCATGTAGTGATTAACTAGACTAGAAACTGGGAGACTATGAATTCTAGTTTTGCCATAGGTTAGAGTCCAGCTGGGTGATCCTGGGCCAGTCATTTTTTCTCAATCCTGGGAAGCAGGCAATGGCAAACTACTTCCAAAAACTCTTGCCAAGAAAACTTCAGGCAGTGATTTAAAAAACCCACAAAACCCTGACCCAATGAAGTGTGTACATACACATTAAAATACAAGTTTTCAATGGAGAAAGAGAACCATTAAGATCACATTACTTGGAAAGTAGTTTAAAAAGAACAAAGGAAAATAAAACAGCCCGTGGTGTGGCATGCTCTATCACAAATGAAGAGCTTGCAAGAAAAATTCTTTCTAAAGAAATTAGGGATTCAAATTATTACCAAGCATAATGTTCCAAAGAAAATTATATTATATGCAGAAAATATTTTACAGCTTCTTGGAGATCCCAAACATTAATCAGAGATTGCTGGGCAGATGATAGTTCTATTCCTGCCCAATTTTCTTCTCCAGATTTTTGCCCTTTGTTTTTAAAAGACCAAGCTGTTTCTTTATTCAAAAGAGAGAGCGGCCGCTGACCTGTTTGTGACAAAGAGCCATTCCTCATTCAAGGAGATATAAATTGTACATACCCAATATGACATACAGTCTCCATTCAAAACTTGAACATTAAAGGTGACTCCAAGTTTTAAAATTATTTTGTTCTACAGCTGATTGTGCTACCTTCTGAATAATGCCTTGAACAGATTCATTTCAGTCTTTCAGCACAAGACAACACTCTTTTGCCACAAGCACAACATTTTGCTAATTATATATGTACAAATCTATCTATAATTGACAAGATAGCAAGCATTTTAAATTCTAGATTTGTGAGGTTTTTCTTACATAATGCTTAATAGCAATAAGACTTATATACCACTTTACAGCCCTCTCTAAGCGGTTTAGAGAGTCAGCATATTGCCCCTAACAATTTGAGTCCTCATTTTACCCACCTCAGAAGGACGGAAGGCTGAATCAACCTTGAGCCTGGTGGGATTTGAACTGCCAAATTGTAGGCAGCTGGCTGCAGAAGTAGCTTGCAGTACTGCACTCTAACCACTGCGCCACAGAGGCTCCTCTCCTCTTTTAATGCTTCTCTCTGAGTTTAAAAATAGTTTCCCTAAGCTATGCTAGAGAAGAGAAGAGCTTTGCAAACTCAATTTCTTTTGTCTTATTTGAGAGATAAATGAATTTTCCCCTCACCATATTACTAGATCTCTCGGTCATCTAATGGCGTTGATAGGTAAGAGATTTGGAAAACTTCAAAGGAACTACATCTTTACATCAATGCTAATTGACTTCATTGCCATTAGTTTAGCCAGCACAGAGATACACATTCTTGGAAGATAGCTTTATTAGTCACTATATATTCATAGCTAAATGAATGAAAATTCCAGGCTCAGAGTCAAAAGGAGAATGTCTTTCTCATAACTTTCTCTGATAAGAATGATATGTAAAAATGCTGAAAAGAAAGGATAATCCAGGGGTTATCTCCTTTGCCTGCAATTTACTAATTGCATTTATTTTCTTCCTAGACGTGTGATGAGAGAACCTGTATTAAATGATCTACTTCCTTCATGCATTATCACTGGAAAGATCTCTATTATGCCTGCAGTGAAAGAGTTCAAAGAGAATGCTGTTGTATTTGTAAATGTTCCCACTGCAGAAGAAGTAGATACTGTTGTCTTTGCCACTGGATACAAAGCTTCTTTTCCCTTCATTGATGAATCAATCCTGAAGGTTGAAAACCGTCATGCTTCCTTGTACAAATACATCTTCCTTCCTCAACTAGAGAAACCAACACTAGCCATTATAGGCTTCATCAGGCCATTTGGTGCAATCATGCCAGTTGTGGAAATCCAAGCACGCTGGGTCACACGTGTCTTTAATGGTATGTAGATTGAGTTGCAACTCTCTAATGCAGGGGTGTCAAACTCAAGGCCCACAGGCCAAATCCGGCTTGTGGGGTGCTTAAATCCAGCTGCAGGGCCAGCCTGGAAATATCAAAGATGCTTAAATCCGGCCCATGGTGCCTCTGGTGGCTAAAACAGGCTGTGTGCGTCCCCCCACATCTTGTTTTCACCCTCTATGGCCTCCTGCAACACTCTGCTGGCCGAAAATGGGCCAGGAAATGACCTGAAAAATGGCCTGAAAACAAGATGGAAAACGGGCCAAAAATGGGCCCGAAAACGGCAGGCAGAGTGCTGCAGGAGGCCACGGAGGCACAGGGGGGCTGCGCATGGACCCCCCCGCACCCCATTTTGGCCAGCAGGTGCTGCAGGAGGCATCTGTCCTGCCCCTCCCTCCCAACTGGCCTGCAGAGGAGAACTACAATGCTAATCCAGCCCTTGAAGAAACCCAGTTTGACACTCCTGCTCTAATGAGTTCTTGAGCATATCTATTTTATACGCAATCTGTTGGACAACAGAGTGGCAATATAAACTAAACTTGGTATACTTTACAAGTAACTGTGCAAAAGAGATAGTTTGCATCCATCAAAGAAAGGGACCGAGTTACTTGGCATTAAATTCACACATTTTCTGGATAAACATTTAAACTAAACAGTGGGGACAGGGAATTAATTGATACAGAACATTTCTATCCACAACAATCTAAAATTAATAGGGTTATCATTGCATGTAACACAGTGGTGCGATTCAACCAGTGTAACAACCGGTTTGGTGAGCGTGCGTTTCGCGTTCATTTTTCTGCCTTCTAAAATAGAAGTACTTGGAGATTCAAGGGGCCTATTCTAATTTCATAGTATTTCCATTTAATTTCCAGGATAACTTCCATTCCAAAGATTGCACTCATTACATGCCTCAGATGAACTGAGGCACAAATCCCTTCTTACTTCTACTCTTTAAAGCCATTTATTTACTTTATCTCTTCATTCTTGTTGGTGTTTTTAAGATTAAGGTGAAATTAGTAATAGGAAGCCTTGGGGTGACAACTTACATCCATTTCAATTCTCAGAATATACAGCTAAGGAAAACAAAGTACACCTTCAAGTGTAATTTGAATCCAATTACATGATAATCTCATGATCATTTCCATTTGGGCATTTTTAAAATTTGCTACATCTTCTTTGAAAGATAGACAGTTTTTTGTTTGGTAATAATCTTCCATTAAAGTTTCATTTACTTGCTTTGGTGCAAGCCCTTCCGAAATATTGCTGAAACATTCTCTCTCCTTTCAGGTTTGTGTAAATTGCCTCCACCCAAAACCATGATGGAAGAAATCAATGAAAAGAAAAATAACAAAGTTAACAGGTAAGTCTTTTTATGTAATGAAGACCATATTGGACCAAATCTCCTTGGCTGGAAAAAAAAATGCACTACAATTATTAGCTGACCAGCTCCCAGCACATGTTTGATCTTTGGAAAACACTAAAAGATGTATACAGTGTAAACATTGATTGCTAATACTTTTGTATTGCATGGCAGATAAACAGTCTAATCATAAACTAAAGCTGCTTCAAATGAGAGAAAAAGGAACTATTATCTCTACCAAAGATGTTTGTCCAGAATTAAGAGGAATTGGTGTGACATAGATAAAATCCTCAACTACGTAATAGCCTAAGCCTACTAGTTCAGATCACATGGCTAAGTACTGGCAATATAGTTAAAAATGCTGAGAGAACTAAATTTTATTTCCATAAATGTTAATTGATTTAAACCAGATTTAATCTTGTATACAGCCATTTCACGACCAGTTTGATTTTAAACTCAGTTCTATTAGAGGGCTGTTTTAATGCTCATGGTGATATAATTTGAATATCTTAATAACGTACTATTCTTGGAAAACATGCTAATATTTACATCTGGTTTAAGACTCCATGAACTCATAAATAACAAAAAACAAGCAAAACTTTAAAGAAAAAGCAGCTTCAAGCACTTTCTTCCTGATCTATAGATAAAATCCTTGAAGTTGCACCCTTATATTTATGTGCATTTGTCTGGTGGCATCTGTAGCTTTAGAGAGCTACATCATCTTCTCTTCATGGTGGCACCTCAACCTAGTAGATCGGGATGTCAAACTCGTGTCGTCATGGTGGCATCATCTGACGTATCGGGATTTCTCCCTCCCCCTTTGTTAAACTGAGTGTGGGCGTTGCCAGCACATGACACATCCGGCCCACGGGTCATGAGTTTGACACCCCTGTAGTAGATGAAAGATAGTTCCCTTGCAAAGCTTGCAAAACGCTATGATTGCTGACTTTTGTGTTAGCATTACAAAGCTCAAATGGGAGAAACTTGAATTTTAAATCAAAGATAATGGCAGGCAGTATTTCCAATCAGTGAACAGATGCTCAGAAGAATATGGGGTAGATCTCACTTAGCAATATTCGTGTTTAGCAACCATTCAAAGTTACAGCAATGTTAAACAAATTAGCTTTGTGACCAATCCTTGCGTTTATGACTGTTATTAATGTGCTTTGCAACTGATTTCTGACAAGCACAGTTAATGGAGAATGTAGAAATAAAATCACAAGTCACAGTCATGTGATATCTCATTTATCAATCACAGTGATTTGCCAAAACAACTGAATGGGAAGTGACATCATATGCCTGTTGCAGTCACTTGATTTTCCACTTAGCAGCCACAGTGGTTAGTGAATTGCCAGTCCCAGTTGTGGTCATTAAGCATGACCTATGGAAATACAATCTTTACAGTAGATCTTGTTTAATGACAATTGGGACCAACAAATTGGTCATTAAGTGAAGTGACTGCTAACCGCAACCATATTTATAATTTTACTTCAGCTCTCCATTGCTTTATAGATCCGCAAAGTAATAAATGAAGGTATTGGTCATAAAATTATTTTTCATCCTCATTGCAACTGCAAATGGATGACAAATAGGTCAGTCATTAGATGAAGCCTATGTGTAGGAACATTTTCTTCAAGTGATACCTCAAATTTTGCATGCAGATTTTGTCCATTTTCTGGAGCAATCAATCTATGAACCAATTTCCTGATGAGAATTCTGCTTCTAGCTCAGAAAAGCAATAAAATAATAAATAAAACTGGCTCTCCTGGGGCCACTGCAAATCTTTTGATTTTCTAGGGCAAATGATCGTAATTTAATCACAAAGAATTTGTTTTGCATGCAGGCTACATAAAAATATTGATGGCATGGTCAGCTTTTAATGTATCTTAAATGCAAGGAATGAGACTGCTTGAACTATAATAATATAGTACAAAATATTAGAACAGCTGAACTGATGGATTGATTCTGTTTTCACTGCCCAGCATAGCGTTATAAGCTAAATGTCTAGTAGCCTTTACAAAGCTGACTTTCCCTATGTCAAGAGGCATACAAACCCATCTTTTAAAGGGTTTTACAAAGGAGCACAGTAGTCTTCACTTCTAACACAGAAGCAACCTCTCTTCTTCATTTGGAGGTGCTTCAGGGCCTCCCTCACAACCTGGACTAGCATTTTGACTGCTGGAAGATGTTCTATGTGAGCCCCTTTCAGATACTGGAAATGCTGACTGAAATTGTGCTGCCTTCATATCTCAGTGTGGTAAATTGTGTTGCCCTTGCTGTACGAGGCAAATAATGGTATCTCACATGTTGCTAAGTTAATTTTTTTTTTAATCAAAAAAGCAAATGATAAATATTTCTGCTCATCTAAATTAAATCATAACAACTACGATATACTGTCTCCAACCAGACTTGTAGAAATGTTAAGTTTTGGAGGAAACTAAATATTAAAGATCCAGAGTCCCCAAGAAAAAGGACAGAATTTTCAATGCCAGTTGTATATTCAATTTACTAACTATACATATTTCCTGTCTCTTCCTTTGTGCTATTTGATTAAGGTTTGGCTTGTCCTTTGATGAAGTCCTGAAAACAGATTGCCTTGTGTACTGTGAGGAACTTGGTTCCCTCATTGGTATAAAGCCTAGTGTGCCAGCTCTACTTCTCAAAGATCCCATACTAGCAATGAAGATTTTCTTTGGCCCCTGCTCTCCTTACCAGTATCGTCTGACTGGACCAGGAAAGTGGGATGGGGCCAGAAATACCATCCTGAACCAGTGGGAACGAGTCCTGAAGCCCACAAGAACCCGGGTTGTGGAAGATTCCTTGAATTGCTTCTCTTGCCTATGGAAAGGGCTTGCTGTATTTGTTATCTTGGTTGGAATTTACCTTAGTTTCAATTAGTTTTTGCAGACCACTTTGGGACAGCCAAGGTGCAATTTTCTCTTTTTAAAAAGGACGTGCTGCTCCACATACCACTTCTCTAAATGTTATTGCAAAATATTAACTTTGAATTTAGTACTTGACCAGATAGCAGATAGTAATCATATTCATTGTGTTTGATTTTAGTTAAAAGTAGATGTAATGTTAACTTCACCCAGTTAACTATTTTTTTGAAGGGCAGCCTTGATATGCCACCCAAAAGCCATCATCTAGTCTTCAGCTTTAGCCATGACATTTTCTTGAGATTGTTATAGTCATTCAGGTAATATAAAAATCCTGCTAGAATATATAAAAGCTTCGACTAATTGATCATTCTGTGGCTAGAAAAGTAGGACATGATTAAAGTTCCTGTTCCCCAAAAGCCAGTACTCAGAGTCATGGTGATTAATATTATTGACAGACTTACTGTATTTTTCTAATCCCCTTCAAAATCATTCAGGTTCAACTCCACAGTGTTTGAGTAAATTCCATATTTCATGTGAAGGACCCCACTCTTCTTTCTAAAAGCAAAACAACTACATTGCTTTACTTTGCTTTGCATTACTCTTATTTCATCTGGTAATTTTAGTTGCCTAAGAGGTTCCTATGCTTGGGCAGGCATCTCTTCCTGCCTGTCAGCCTTTCAAGGTAATCCAGGAAGGAAACCAAAACATGAGTACTAAAGCTACCTTTATTGTTACAGTAAGAGAATTTTGCAAGTCTAAAAGCATTTTCCCCTCCCTTGCTTTTACTTTCCACAGAATTAGGAAAAGTCCTTTCTGAGATGTTTTTTCCACCTGCATTCATCATTTGGCCTCAAATTTTGTTCATCAGACCATTGTTTAGACTACAGCTCTTCCTTCTATCTTGCAAGGTTACTTTCACAGCCCATTACATCACCCTTCTAGTCAGCATCTGAAAGAATCTGAGGCTTTGGTGCATATCTATTACAGGTAGTCCTTGACTTACAAACATTTGATTAGTGACCATCCAAAGTTACAGTGTCACTGAAAACAGTGGTTTATTACTGCTTTTTACACTTACAGCTGTTACTGCATCCCCAAGATTACATGATCAAAATTAGATCTCTTGGCATGCATTTATGACAGTTGCAGTGTCCCGAGGTCACCTTTTGCTACTTCCAACAAGTAAAGTGAGTGGGGAAGCCAGATTCATTTCTCAACTGTGTTACTAACTTAACAACTGCAATGATTCACTTAACAACTGTGGCAAAAAAGGTTGTAAAATGGGGCAAAACTAATTTAACAACTGTCTTGCTTAGCAACAGAAATTTTGGGCTCATCATTATTAAGCTATCCACTGCCATAGCTGAACCTCTAAGCTTAATCTTTGAAAAATCTTTCAAGACCAGCTCCTTGCCAAATCTATGGTCACTAGCCACAGTCATCCCCATCTTCAAAAAGGGAGGTCCCAGCCTAGTTGAAAATTACAGACTAATCTCTTTATGCTGTGTCACCTGTAAAGTCATGGAATAAATTATTAACCAATCCATTATCCTCCACTTAAAGACAAACAACCTACTCTCTAACAAACAGTTTGGTTTCAGAAGGAAACTGTCCTGTAACCTGCAACTCTTGCACTGTAAAAACATATGGACTACACAACTTGATCAGGGCAAAGCAATTGACGCAATCTACATAGACTTCTGTAAAGCCTTTGATTCAGTGGTACACGACAAACTACTCCTAAAACTAAGGTCTTAGTGGCCAACTGGATGCAGTTACAAAGATAAAAAGATAACATCCAAAGGGGGTCCAAACCAACCTATCTTTAGTGTTCAAAGAGAGGTTAGAATTCCATGCCAGTGTTGCAGATTTAAACTGATAAACTTGTTTTCATTTGGAAGGCTCCCATGCAGGAATTAACTTTTTCTTCAGAGTCTGTGACCAATAACTGTACAACCCCCCTCCCTCTGCTGATAAGATGTCTTGTTTTGACTGCAAATGCAAGAAAACTAGGCTAAAAGATTTGTTTGAATGTTGCCTTCATTTTAATTTTGGTTTAATGAACAATAATGGTGTCTGTTTACAGAGCTGATCAGACAACAAGTATATAAAAAAGTTTATTGGACATGCGCTAGCTAAGTCAGCCTTCCCAATCTACTACTCTCCAGATGTTTTAGACCAACTTTACGACTTGTGGACTTCAACTCCCAGAGCTGGCTGAGGAATTCTGGGAGTTGAAGTCCACAAGTTGTAAAATTGCCAAGGTTGGAGAGCCCTGTTTTAGACTATACCCCAAATCATCTTATATGGCTAGAAGCAAGGGATTGTAATCATTTAGCATTTGTGGTAGCAATATCTTCCTATTTTAAGTAGCATACTTATTAATGCGCTATTTAAACACAAAGTGGTTTCATATGTTTGGCTACCATATGCATGTGTGTGTGTGTGTGTGTATACACATACACATACATATATACATACATACATATATATATATATACATATTAACACATATATTTTTTATTCCGACCAGATATGTTTGTACTTCCAGGACATTAATTTACTCCATAGGACATTGCGCTATCTTTTAAATAATGAAAACTTGTAGAGAATATAGGATGACTTAGAACTTTGCTTTCAGCATTGCTGAACCTCATCCCTTGGGAAATGGGACATGAAAGACTCTGTAATAACGGAGTCCTACCAGACTCCGTTGTTACAGCCTCAACCCCTCACAGCTTCAACCTCAAACTGCCTACCGTGGACCTCACCCCATTCTTAAGAGGTCCTTAAAGGGGGCTTGCATAAGCACACCAGCGTGCCTACTGTCCCTGTCTTACTGTCTCAATTTATCTGTATTTACATTTGCATGCATTTTAATGCTATAATTCTCTCAAAGCACAGTCATCATTGTTGATATAGTGGAAACTATGAGATATAGCGGAAACTATAATCTAAAAAATTGTGAAACAAAACTGACAAAAATATCAAGTTTCAGAACTCAACTGAAATTTCATAATCATATCTTAGATAAACTAATGTTCATGATATCAGTTTTAATAGTTGTGCCTATTAAAACCTGTTTTTCTATTTCCTTCTATGCTTGCCATATATTGGTGCCTTCTATGAAGAAGTTTGCTTGCACTACATCAAAAATATTTAAACTTTAACTTCATTGCTAGTGCTTGCAGTGAACAGTATGGTTTTACTTCAATTTTGGTACTGAAAAAATTACTCTTCTTAGAGTCCAAGGTATTCTCAAAAACTTTCTATACTGTCACAGTTCAAAGGCATCAATCCATTGGCCTTTTTGATTGTTAATTTAGTTTTGATATGTTAAATTGATAAGACTGTGGCCTTGACAATAGGTATCTTTGCTGTCAAGATATTATGCTTTGCAAATTGCACTATGAACACTTTAAATAATATTATATAAAATATATGTTTAATACCATTGATATTTTGCTGTCAGATATGCTATAATAAACAAATTATACTTTAACACTTTAAATAATTTTATACTAACTACATTAACAATTTTAAATATCATTGCTTAATAATTAGCAAGAATTTCTATTTTTATTCATGATAACAATTATGGAATGAAATAGATGGCAAATTTCAAAAAGAAAAAATGTTACACCAGAAGACAAATTGGGAGTGGTCAGAACCCAGGCTGAAGGTGTGCCTACCAGCAAAGAGGGAAAAGAAGAATTAAAACAAATTGAGGATGCTCTCAAAACCTGTGGCTATACCAACTGGGCCTTCATCAAATCCAGAAAAGACCAGAAGAAGCTCCTCCAAAACAGACAAAAAAGAGAACAACACAGCAATGTTTTCACTCCATACATTGCAGGAATATCTGAAAAGCTCAGGAGGATTTTCAACCAACACAACATACATACATACTTAAATCTAAGAATACACTAGGTCAGAAGCTTGTCCACTCCAAGGATAAAACACCAAGACACAAATTGAGCAATATGATATTTGCAATACAGTGCAATGAGACATGTGCAGATCTGTACATTGGAAAAACAAAACAACCACTTCACAAGTGCATGGCGCAACATAGGAGAACAAATCCATCAGGAGAAGATTCAGCAATTCATTTGCATTTGAAAGAAAAAGACAACTCTTTTGAAGACAGCAAAGTCCATATTCTGGAGAGAGAGAGAACCATTAGGTTGAAAGAGAGGTAAAAGAGGCTATCTGTGTTAAAACTGAACAGCCCCCTTTCAACAGAGGAGGAGTCCTGTTACAACACAGTCCTTTCAGCAGTTCCAAGAAGGTTTCACAACCATTTACACTCTGATTCAGGTGTCGTGAGGACACAGATTAACCCCCAATTGGTCTCAATGACTCTCAGAGAACTAATGACCGACCTTCAGAGTACAAAATACCAGATGACTACAAGGAATATAAATCCTTCCAATTCCTATCATTCAGTTTGAACTAAAAAAGCTTCTTAGATGAGAAGCGAAATGTCTTCAGGGAAAAACAAAATCCAGTTGCCTTTTGAAAAAGCACGGGACAACCATGACCTGGATGACTGAGAATCTCCATAGACATTCAATAAATGACTTGTTCTAAGTCAAGCACTAGCCATATATGCAGTGCATGTATGAGCTATCCAACAATTGCAGGAAGAGAGGTAAAATCAGAGTGGTACATGCTGTCCCTTCCCTTAAGCTCTCGGAGCAGAAAGATACAGGTGTTTCAATATATCTCATGATGTAAGCATGTTTTCAATTTCCTATAAATTGGTATTTGTCCGGTTCTTTGCAATCTTTAAATGCATATTGGTTATGAGGCCTATAAATACTTCTGTGAATGATACTTTCTGTGAAGATTGCTACTTCCTTTTTTAAAGGAAAGGGATCTAAATAATTTTTTAAATGTTACATAGAGAGCCTGGTGGACGCAAAAGTCCATGAGCAAATGGTGACCTACAAGAAGAAAAATGCTTGTTCTCTCTCAATACAAGAAAAAATGCAATGCAATTCAACAGGAAAATATTACTGGGGGACCATAATACTTGGGGATGACTAGTGCAACTCTCATAGACTTACTGGATTTCTCAGTAGCTTTTGATAACTTCAACATATAGCAAAGAATAATGGTAATCACATCTATCAAACTACTGTAACTTCCTGGTCCAAAGAGTTTTTACAGTAATGTTCCTTCTTGAGGGGGAGATTTGGGGGAGCAAAAGAGAGGTTATATCAAAAGTCTTCCACTGTGTTGCACCATAAAGGTCAACTCTGACACCCTTATTTAGCATTAATATGAAGTTAATTGGTATCATTGGTAAGCAGATGATATCCAGTTGAATATCACAATCTTGGACCAAGAAAAAGAATCCATATAGTAGATGTCCTATTCTGGTTTCTGGAGGCAATTTAATCCCAATACTACAGAATTCCAGTAATTCTGGTGGCTATAAAAACCTTCCTATTTCATGGATCTTTCTTTTTGAGTAGCATTGTCCTTCTTTGTGTGAAATGTTCATAATCTGGGACTTGCCCTGGAAACAAAGCTATTGGAAAGACTGAGAACAATCACTTATCTCCCATTTACCATCTCAACCTTTTCCAGGTGTCACAATATCTGTGTCAGGTTTCCAAGTGATGAAATCCATTTAAAAAGAAATTCCATCTTCCATAATAATTTCTTTTATTTAGGAAAGCATCAAATTGGCAAAGTCTGTTGTAATTCTGGATCTGACACAACCTGGAATTACACCACATAATATTGGAAGTTAGAAACAGCCCCCAAAAGTCACATTCTCCAATAGAAGTAAATCAATGTTGCCTGGTGTCATAAATCTCCACTTCAAGGCCTCTGCAGGGACAGCTCGTGTTCCCATGGGAAGAAGAACCATCTAGCCTAAACAACTCTATCAACACTCCTCCCACCTTAGGAATGTGGCAAGCCTGAAACCCTTCCCCCCATAACAAAGAGAAAGAAAGAAAAGGAATATATAATGAGGCTAAATAAAATGGCTACACATATGTCAATTTCAGGCCTGACAATCTGGAGGGTTCAGCATCTGAGGCAGTGGTGGCATTCAAATTTTTTTACTACCGGTTCTGTCGGCATGGCTTCGTGGGCATGGCATGGTTTGGTGGGTGTGGCAGAGAAGGATATTGTAAAATCCCCATTCCATCCCCACCCCACTAACCTACTTTCCAGCTCCGTTCTCCTGTGCAGGGAAACAAAAGAAGACCCAGCCAATCAGCTGGGACTCAGGAGGCATAAAATAGATGGGGGAGGGGCCAGTCAGAGGTGGTATTTGCCAGTTCTCCGAACTACTCAAAATTTCTGCTACTGGTTCTCCAGAACTGGTCAGAACCTGCTGAATACCACCTCTGATCTGAGGCTTGCAAATAAGCCCACTAAAACTACTCAGATAATATTTGCCAGCTGTAAACTTTGCAAGAGAAAAAAGCCTTTTGCGGGTAGGGAAAAGCCTGAATCATATCTCTATTTGGTGCTGTTAGTCAAGTCAAATGCAAGTTATGATTTGTGTAGTTCTCAAGGGGAAAAACAATGTATGTAAATATATCAATAAATCTCTTTATGTAGACCAGTGGTGGGATTCAAAAATTGTTACTACCTGTTCTGTGGGTGTGGCATGGCGGGTGTGGCGTGGCTTGGTGGGCATGGCAGGGGAAGCATACTGCAAAATCTCCATTCCCACCCTACTCCAGGGGAAGGATACTGTAAAATTCCCATTGTTTCCCCACCCCACTAACCTGCTTTCCAGCTCCCTTCTCCTGTGCAGGGCAACAAAAGAAGACCCAGCCGATCAGCTGGGACTCGAGAGGCAGAGAATAGATGGGGGCGGGGCCAGTCAGAGGTGGTATTCCAAACTACTCAAAATTTCCTCTACCAGTTCTCTGAACTATTCAAAATTTCCACAACCAGTTTCCCAGAACTGGTCAGTACCTGTTGAATATCACCTCTGATGTAGACACTACTGGAACATTGTGTTAAAGTTGAAGAGGGGAAAGTTGAAGCAGGTAGAAAGTGCTTCCTGTTAAAATGAGAGTTTGGGTTAATGGAAACACTGCAAAGTTTAATAAACCTCTCCACAAACTTTCCCCATAACTGTGGTGGATTATGCAATTCTGCCTTCTATAAAGCTGTATGAAGAGAGTTATCTATTTACAGTAAAGTTTGTGGATTAAAGAGAACAGAAGAGAACATTCCTTTCAGTTATCTCACCAATTTAAGGTATGTACAATAATTTTCTTTTAACCCCTCCCTCCCCCAAAATGCTCTGTGAAATCAGCTACTGGATGGATCATTTTCACACTCTTCTCTACCCCTCCACACTTCTACTTTCTGTTCTTAATTCCTGCCAGATGAGTCAAAATGCTTTGGACAGCATAAATGCAAGTGATTTCTCTTTCCCCCTTAGCTCCTCCTCCACACTTAAACTTTTAGAAATGCTACATTCGTGCTGCTCCTGAGAAAGAAATCTGGAGCATTTTTGTTTCTTAACCACAGTTGTAATAACAGATTTTAATTTCTATTCCTTTGTTTGGCCTGGATTTTTGGCCAAAGGCAGATAAATTTGTACAGGTAGGTTCTGCAAACAGTTTATTAATCAACAACTCATTAGATGAATAATATATGAATATGAATGATACAGAAGTATCCTGTAGAATGCATTTAAAGATATCCTTGTGATCACAGAACAAGGAAGGCAAACACTTTTTAGAAGTAAAATAAACGAGCTCAAACTGTTACAATATCAGGAAGTAGTATCATATGAATATGATTTTATTTGCAAAAAGTATGCTCGGAAAGCAACTTCAGAAATACGTTATGGGGAAAACATTCTTTAGCCCTAGGACAAATCCGTATAAGGGTTTTATACACTCTTTCAGCTGGTTTTGAGTGGCAAGAGGCATTTTCCCTGCATTCTATATTTTAGCTGCAATACTGTATTGAAAACAAGTCCACACACTGCATCTCTGTGGATGTTTTGGCAGTAGAGAAAATGAGGGTTTTTTTTATAAAAAGAAAAGTAGAGTTGCAAAAAAGTAAAAATCAAATTTAATGCAGTTGTAGAGGAAACAAAAATTAGTTCAAATTGTTTTTGTGCAAGACAGAATATTTGTGATAGTCCGCAATTTACTTCGTGGTCAGTATTTAATCTCTACAAATTAAATACAAAAATTTTAACCATTCTATAGTTGTTTGGGGAAGGGAAATGGTTGAAGTTCTGCTGAGAAATGAATTCTGCATTTTTTTAGCTGCATCCTTTTCTGGCTATTTTTATTTTATTTTTCAAAATTCAAAATAAATTTAGCATACTTCTAATGTTCACAGTTACATGTAACTAGTGTATGTAGATATATGGCATGTAATTAGGTCTTGAAAAGTGCAGGCTGCAGTTTCATTATGAACTCCCCTACTCAAAAAGGCAGAGAAATGTGCAAAAGGACGAACTTATCAGTGCTTTGCTTTCCTAATTATTAGAATCTGTTAAGTTTGGTCGGTGGGTCCCATGAATAGACGAGGCTCGAGTAGTGAACAACAGCTCTTTATTTAACAGATAGATTCTGAGACAAAACCCTAGCGCGTAGCAGCTCTTCTTATAGAGCTGGCCGTGGCCAGGCAGCCAATGACAACTCTTTGAGTTTGCCGCGCTTGGTTTTAGCCAATCGCGGCAAACCCTGTATGAACCAATCAGGAACGTTTAAGCCAGCCAATTACGATCCGGCTTGTCTGGACCAATAGGATTGCAGGGTTTCGAGCCTGCTAATATGGAACATCCCTCCCCTCTTGGTTCCGTCCAAGGGGCAGGGTAACGTAGTCACGTAAGTAGGCGGGTCTTCGGACCTGCCTACTTGACTTACGCGATTCATAATGTCTCTGGTCATCGTCAGATTCAGACGGGCTCCGCGTCGCTCTCAAGCTTCTTGATGGAACCGCCTGGAAGGGTGAGCCGGACCTATAGCTGCGACTCCCGCCTGGTGTATCCGGGTTGGTCAAGTCGTTCGCTCTGTCGCTCCTGCCTGGATTCTCTGGGCTGGTTGAGCTTGTCCGGCTGCTACTTCCAGGTGAAGCACCCGTCTGCCTCGGTTCCCTGTTTGTAGGTAAGTATTGCTGGTTTAATGTTTGATTTTTATTTAATGTGTGTGGGGGGTGTTCTGCTTGCGCAGATACCGGTTCTTTTTCTATGTTTGAGGTTTCCACACCCCCCCCTCTGATTTCTTGGTTAGAGTCTGTGAGGGGAAAAGTGGCCAGTCTAGATCGTAGCTGCTCAATGTGCCGTTTCCAGCTCCTCCCGTCGGTGGTCTGGAGTCGGTAGGAGCGGGGGCCGGTGACTTGGGTGATCTTTGCAGGTAGTCATAGTGGGTCCCCCGTAAAGTTTTTAGCGAAAACAGTGTCTCCCACGTTGAAGGCTCGGTGTCGGCTAGTAGATCCAGGGGGTTTCTCTGGAGTGTAAGTAGGGTGCAAACGGTCTAGAGGTGACCGGAGCCTTCTGCCCATGAGTAATTCCGCTGAGCATTTGTTCGTGGTGGTGTTGGGTGTGATATGTTGTATTAGGAGCATTTTGTTGATTTTTTCGTGGATGTTGCCGTGTTCAATCTTTTGGATGGTTCTTTTTGTGAACTGAACCATGCGTTCAGCTCGCCCACTCGCCGCCGGGTGAGCGGGCGATGTCAATGCGTGTCGGATGCCACGGTCTGCCAAGTATTGCTCAAACGTCAATGCAGTAAATTGAGGTCCATTGTCAGATACTATCACATCTGGCAGACCATGCGTGGCAAAAAGTTTGTTTAATTTTTTGATAACGGCTTCTGTGGTGGTTGTCTTCATTTTGCTTACTTCGAGCCAATTTGAGTAGGCATCAACAGTGATTAAAAAGGTATGTCCTTTGGTTGGCCCTGCGAAGTCAATATGGATTCGCGACCAGGGGCCTCTGGGGGTTTCCCATTCTAGCGGTGGAGCTGCAGGGGGAGCCGAGCGGGTTTCTTGGCATCTGCTGCAACCGGCGACCCAAGTCTCTATTTGTTTGTCTATGCCTGGCCACCATGCGTAGCTTCTGGCCAGGGCTTTCATTTGTACAATGCCTGGGTGCCCGTCGTGCAGCATGTCTAGAACTTTTTTTTGTAATGTTTCTGGTATGACCACCCGGTCTCCCCAAAGAATGCACCCCCTTTGTGAGAAAAGTTCGGTTTGTCGAGTTTTAAATGGTTTAAAGAGTTCATTTTTTTCGTTTTCTGGCCAACCCCTCTCCACCCAGCTGAGGACTCGCGCCAAGTGTTTGTCCCTTCTTGTTTCGCGGGCAATGTCTTGCGCGGTCAATGGTGGCATGGTGATTGTTTCTATTTGTAAAATAGATAATGTGGGTGCTCGGTCGTCTTGCACATCTGGTAGGGGGGATCGGCTTAAAGCATCAGCGTGCGAGATGGTCTTGCCGGGTCGGTGTGCTAAATGGTAATTATAAGCGGCAAGAAATTCAGACCATCTCGTCATCCTAGGTGACAGGATGTTTGGAGTGGGTTTGTTCCCAGCCAAAATGCCTAGTAGGGGTTTGTGGTCCGTAATAATTGAAAAAGTCCTACCATAAATGTATTCGTGGAATCTCTTCACTGCAGAGACGATGGCTAGGGCTTCTTTGTCCAGCTGGCTGTAGTTCCTCTCCGGCTTGGACAGGGTTCTTGAGAAGAATGCGATGGGAGCCTCATTCCCATTCGGCAAGGTGTGGCTTAGGATTGCTCCAATGCCAAAGGGTGATGCATCGCATGTGACAGTCAGAGGAAGGGTTTCGTTATACTGAATAAGGACTGCGTCGGAAGTTTAAAGGTTTTTTATTTGTTGGAAGGCGCGTTCCTCTCGCCTTCCCCAGATCCAGGATGCCGTTTTATGCAGAAGCCTATGCAAGGGTTCCGCGACAGTCGCCTTCTGGGGTAGGAAAACATTATAGAAATTAATGAGTCCAAGGAATGCTTGGAGTTCCGTTTTATTTTTCGGTCTGGGGGCTTCCTTGATGGCTTTTAACTTTTTGTCAGTAGGGTGAATTCCATGTTTGTCTAGGAGGTATCCCAGGAATTCAACCTTTTCAGTACATAATTGGCACTTTTCTTTTTTTACTTTGAGGCCGGAGTCTTTAAATTTTTGTAAGACTGCTCTTAGCCATTTCTCCAATTGTTTTTTATTGGGGCTGCTACTAGCACGTCGTCGAAATAGGGTACGACTCCTTTAATTCCCTGCAGCAGTCTTTCCATTAGGCTTTGGAAAACCCCAGGTGCGACGCTGACTCCAAATTGGAGTCGGTTGCATTTAAATGCCCCTCGATGTGTCACGATCGTTTGTGCCTCGGCGGTTTCAGCATCGACTGGCAGTTGTTGATAGGCTTGTGCCAGGTCGAGCTTTGCAAAGATTCTGCCACCCCCAAGTGAGTGTAGGAGATGCTGGACTCCTGGCACAGGGTAGGCACTCTGCTGCAGGGCATGGTTCAGGGTGGCCTTGTAGTCTCCACAGATTCTCAGGGAGCCATCTGGTTTGATGGGGGTGACAATGGGTGTTTCCCAACGGGCATGGTCGATAGGTTCTAATACCCCTTGCGCGATGAGCTTATTTAATTGCTCGTCTATCTTAGGCTTGAGTGCAAATGGCACTCGGCGCGGCTTGAGGCGGATGGGAGCGATGTCTGGGCTAAGATTGAAGGAGATTGGGGACCCCTTGTACTTGCCTAAAGTATCATCGAAGACCTCTTGGAAGTCTCGTACGAGCATCGCCTCCCAATCTTCTTCGTCTGTGTGATTGATGCCTGCCATCTCGATCCCTAGCGGCGAGAACCATTGTAATCCGAGTAAACTGGGGCGGTCTTTTTCCACAATTGTAAGTGGTAGAATGTTGGTGCGGTTTTTGAAGGAGATCTTGAAATGCCCGATGCCAGCCACTGGGATGCGGTTCCCTTGGTAGTCCCTCAAGATCATTTTCTGGTCACTTAGTTCCTGGCGGTGTATGCTGGGTATTAGATGCTTTATGGTGCACCAGGAGACCATGGAGAGGTAGGAGCCGAATCTACCTCCATGGTGCATGGTTGGTCTTCGATACCAACCTCGATGCGTACCTTCCGTGCATCTACTGGTGAAGAATGGGCGATGATAACTGTTTGGTGTGTTTCTTCTCTCCACGGTGCCTCATTGAATCTTTTGTTTCGGCCGTCCCGTCTCCAACGGCTGTCAGTCTGGCGGTCCCAGTTTTTGGTGGGGGTGCCATCTTGTCTTCTCGGGCTGTTGCCTCGACGCCGGGGGCTGAAGTTTCTTTTATTGCGGCATACTTTCGCGATATGCCCCCGCTTCTTGCAATGTCGGCAAACAGCGTCCAGGAATTTGCATTCGGAATGCGGGTGATTTCCTCTGCAGCCAGCACACTGGTATCCCGACTTACGACCCCGCCGGTCTCGCCAATCGCGTTCTGACTGAAGTCAGTGAATCTCTTCTTCTTCACTGTCAGAAGGGGATTCAACGTCGCCATGGTGGGTGGTGGTTGCGATTTTTTCTGGTGTGGTAGTTGCATTGCTGGTCAATTGACGGTCGGTTCCGTTTGAACGCCGCATTCGGGCCGCTGATTTGCAGGTAGCTTCGGCTGTGGTTGCTTCGGCTATGGCGTCGGCGAGGGAGATGTCACCCTTGGCCATTAGTCTGCTTTGGAGTGCTGGGTCTTTCAGGCCGAGAACGACCCGGTCTCGCATGGCCTCATCTAGGTTAGCGAATCCGCACAAACCTCCAAGGTCCCTCAGGTCGGCCACAAATTCACCGATGCTCTCGCCCTCGCGCTGGTCTCTTTGATAAAAATCATGCCTTCGGATAAGAGTTGGTACGGCCGGAGCATAGTGGTTTTGGAGGATGGGAGCTAGGTTGTCCCAATCCATCGTTTTGACATCTGTGGGCTTTGCTAGCGCCTTGGCCATTTTGAAAACGGCAGGCCCACAGTGCGTTAAAAATACCGCCCGTTTCTTGCTGCGTCTTTCAAGTTGTTGGATTCCAAAAACATTTGGAAACGATCAATGTAGGACTCCCAGTCCTCACTGGCTGGGTTAAATGGTGCGGGCGGCGTGGTGCTGCTGGCCATTTCGCTGGTCGTCTCTGCGCCGTTTGCCACGTGCTGGTTAGTCTTGTTGTCTCAGAATCCCACCTTCGTCGCCAGTGTTAAGTTCGGTCGGTGGGTCCCATGAATAGACGAGGCTCGAGTAGTGAACAACAGCTCTTTATTTAACAGATAGATTCTGAGACAAAACCCTAGCGCGCGGCAGCTCTTCTTATAGAGCTGGCCGCAGCCAGGCAGCCAATGACAACTCTTTGAGTTTGCCGCGCTTGGTTTTAGCCAATCGCGGCAAACCCTGTATGAACCAATCAGGAATGTTTAAGCCAGCCAATTACGATCCGGCTTGTCTGGACCAATAGGACTGCAGGGTTTCGAGCCTACTAATATGGAACAGAATCAAAACTAAGAAACCACTCTTTGTCTTTGAGCATATCAATTACCTCTCACGTTAGTTGTCATATCATGCTAACATGATGGGGAACATAATTTGTTTGATGTTGCAAATCTAGAGCTGTCGTGCATTCCTCTGACAAATCCTCAAATGAAGAAGAACTACTGAATGAGCTCTAGAAGAAATGATCAAGGCACAGTTCCCAATTCAAGCTGAGGCTGGTCTGTGCAATGTTCTTCCAAGTCAAGGAAATTAATCCAGAATCTACTAAATCTAGATTTCTCCTCAGAGAAAACTGATGCTTATAGAGAATACACAGGAATGGGAGAAAGACTAATGCTTAAGAGTGCAGGAAAACTCAGGCAGACCTTCCTGGAGTAGATCTGCTGCAAATTCATACACAAATAACAGAGGAACTATGCTGCCATCACAACATTTAACTCTCTGCCTTCCTTTCAGTCTATATTACCAGCAACTGTCCACTAATGCTAAATGGCTTGTAATCCTTCTTGGATGGAGTTTTGATCACCCCAATACAAAAAAAGATGAGATTGAGACTTTGGAAAGAATTCAGAGAAGAGCAACAAAAATGATTAGGGGCCTAGAAGCTGAAACATACGAAGAACAATTGCAGGATCTGGATATAGTCTAGTGAAAAGAAGGAGCATGGGTGACATGATAGTAGTATTCCAATACTTGAAAGGTTGCCACAAGGAAGAGGGAGCCAACGTATTTACCAAAACACCTGAAGTCAGGACAAGTAACAATGGATGGAAATTAACCAAGAAGAGAAGCAACCTAGAACTAAGAGAAAATTCCTAAGAGTGAGAAAAATTAACCAGTGGAACAAATTGTTTTAGAAAATTGTGAGTGTCCCATCATTGGAAGCTTTTAAGAAGAGAGTGGGCAACCATCTGTCAGAAATAGTATAGGTCTCCTGCAAGAGCAGGGGCTAGATGACCTCTGAGGTCCCTTCCAACTCTATTATTGTTACATCATGTGATGAAACTAGTTCCTGTGACTATTGGTCACCTTTTGAGTTTCTCTGTAGTAGCGACTCAATCCTGACAAATTACATTCACAGCCATTGACCCTGCCTTTACTCTGGACTTCACTATAGCTCCACCTCCTCTAGAAATAAAGAATTAAAAATGCCATGGTAAAGCAAAATACCAACCATATTATGGAGTTTGGAAAGTTGTGCCAAAACAGCAAGTGTTGACTTATTCAACAGCCAGTTGTTTAAAAATAAAAATAGTATGACCTGGCAATTCAACCACTTTCCTTAACTTGACTTAAAATGCTATATTGTAGCACCATTCACTTTTTTATTTTTAACTTTGCTTTTTTCATGACCACATAACCAATAGAATCTGGGGTCCCTGTTTTCTCCATATTTATTTTTATCATTATTATTAGTATCTCTGACACTTCACAGAAGAACGTTGTTTAGGAATGGTGAGTATTAACAAAGTTCTAGTGTTAAAGGAGGCAAGAGAGCCTCCCTGAGAAAAGAACAGTAAGTTGTGTTCCAATATACAACACAAACAGTGCTTGAATTTACTGAACTAACAGATATTTACTGGCAAAAATATACTTAAGGGAGAAGAGAAATGCTTCCTGCTTATGCAACTTCACAAGGAAATAATAAAAGTATTGATATGGAATTATAACCTTTGGACTTTGTGTCCAACAGATAGAAGTGTGTGAGTTAGTATCAGTGCAACTTTCAAGGTGCATCTTCAGAAAAGCCTCTATCCTGACCTCCAGCTATGGGACGAAAAGTGGCCATTATTGGGGCAGGAGTGAGCGGGCTGGCCTCTATCAAGTGCTGCCTAGAGGAAGGACTGGAACCTACCTGCTTTGAAAAAAATGAAGCCATTGGAGGACTTTGGCAATTCACAGTGAGTAGCACTAATTGAAATTTAAAATTCTGAAAAAAAACCATCAAACTGTAGTAATTCTACAAGCATCAACAGAGAAGAACTTCACCTGAATCCAAAGATTCTGGAGTTTGGGGTTTTTTTCCTGTGTGCTGTGGGCCTCTTTTGCTTGTTCCACCAAAGAAAATGTGCGGACATTAAACTAAAATACAGGTCGTCCTTGATTTACAACAGTTCATTTAGTAACTGTTCAAAATTACAACAGGACTGAAAAATGTGACTTATGACACATAATTACATGTAATTTCATAGTTACAATCATTGCAGCATCTCCATGATCATGTGATCAAACTTCAGATGCTTGGCAACTGGTTCATACTTATGACCATTGCAGTGTCCCAGGATCACATGATCACCTTTTGTGACCTTCTGACAAGCAACGACAATGGGGAAGCCAGGTTCACTGAACAACCAGGTAACTAACTTATCAACTGCAATGATTCACTTAACAACTCAAAGTCGTAAAATGGGGCAAAACTTAACAAATGTCTCACTTAACAACATAATTTTTGGGCTCAATTGTGGTCGTAAATTGAGGACTACAGTATTATCTGTAACTGCTTTGCCTTCCAGATATCATGTTGCAATGATTAAAGTATTTTTAAAACAATACCCATGAAATAATAGGAAGATTCTATAGACCAGGGGTAGGGAAACTTGGCTCTTCTATCACTTATGGACTTCAACTCCCAGAATTCCTGAGTGAGTCATAAAAGGTTCCCCATCCCTGGCCTACAGTTTTTTTTTCCAGTTGTGAGGGAAATCAATTTTTGACTTGAATGGGACTGTTTAATATACAAATGTAGGACATATAAAGACTATAAAGAATAATAATATAAAGAATATGTCCTACATTTGTATATTAAACAGTCCCATTCAAGTCAAAAATTGATTTCCCCCACAACTGAAAAACCAGTAGGCCAGGGATGGGGAACCTTTTATGGCTCACTCAGGAATTCTGGGAGTTGAAGTCCATAAGTGATAGAAGAGCCAAGTTTCCCTACCCCTGCTATAGACCAAAAAGAAAGCAAGGGATAATTTTGCTCTGAGCAACTATAAGCTGCTGTTTTTAAGTTATAAGCTAACTTGACTGTGGAGGAAAGATATGTACAAGAAGCAATATCTAACTACTGACACTGAGGTCAGATGGGTCCAAGGGTGGTACCAAGACAGGCAGACTAAAAAATGGGAAAATAAATAAAAGATGAAGCTGTGGGAGGTCTGGAGAAAAAAGATGGAGGAAGCATTATAAGCAACTCTTTGAGAAAGCTGCCCTGCTGCCAAATGCAACCAAGATTTCTGTGTGTCTTTCTTGGATGAGAAGTACAATACATGAACCTTGTCGAAAGAGCAGATATCTATCACTTCCACCCTGAGACCACACCAACCCTGCCAGCTCAACCAGAGAAGAAAATAATAGATGGTCCAGCCCTTCAGGAAATTCTCATCCCTACAGGCAGTTTTTCATGGATTTTGTTTATCCCAGACATCACAAGTTCGGAGGCAGCAGTCAGAGATTGTGGGGCTCTTGCTCAAGTGAATGTTGGTTGAGAAGCTGGCTGTGACTCTTTCCAAAGTTGACACCTGAGTTGAGACCCTGAATTGCCTACAGGCAGTCTGTAAAAAATTAGGAAACCTTTCTTTAATTAAGCATTGTTGAGAAACACTGAGAAAACAATGCTCTTCATATTGATAATTCCCATGGACTTTAGCACCTTCATATGTTAAGATCTGTTCATATGTGGGTTGGACATATAAAAAATTAAATTAAATTTAAATAATAATTTAAATAATAATAATAATTAATTTAATAAACAAAAACATCCAAAAGGCAGATGAAATAGACCACTAGGTCCTCTTCTGCTGTCAGTTTTCTATGCTTCTATAATGAAATTCAGGATACACGCATTTAAGTGGTTGTATGCACATTTACTTCACCATATTAAAACTCTTTTGTAACCTTTCCTGTTTGATGAAGCACAAAGAAAGCAGGCATTCTCTGCTTACAGAGAAGCTAGATATTCCCAGGATTTGTTATATAGACTCCAATGCTCATCCCCAAATGACCTCATTCTGGGAATCACTAAAATGACATTCTCAAACACATTTTCACAGATAGGAAGCATGATGTCTATAGATATCAGTGTGTCACAGATACCATTTTTTGTGTTCTCAAGCCTCCCTGCACTAAAAAATGTCCTTTGGAATGTTAAAATCAAACAAATGAATACACAAACACATATCTAATTAATATTCACTTAATTATATTTATATGCCACTCATTTTGTTGCCCAAAGGAACTCTGGGCAGCTAAGGTCATTAAAATATCAGTGGTCAGCAGAATTAAATAAAACCAGATTTATCCCATGGCTAAAATAGATTACATATACTGTATAAAGGTAAAACTCGAAAAATTAGAATATCGTGCAAAAGTTCATTTATTTCAGTAATGCAACTTAAAAGGTGAACTTAATATATGAGATAGACTCATTACATGCAAAGCAAGATAGTTCAAGCTGTGATTTGTCATAATTGAGATGATTATGGCTTACAGCTCATGAAAACCCCAAATCCACAATCTCAGAAAAATAGAATATTGTGAAAAGGTTCAATATGCTAGGCTCAAATTGTCCCACTCTAATCAGCTAATTAAGCCATAACACCTGCAAAGGGTTCCTGAGCCTTTAAACAGTCTCTCAGTCTGGTTCAGTAGGAATCACAATCATGGGAAAGACTGCTGACCTGACAGTTGTGCAGAAAACCATCATTGACACCCTCCATAAGGAGGGAAAGCCTCAAAAGGTAATTGCAAAAGAAGTTGGATGTTCCCAAAGTGCTGTATCAAAGCACATTAATAGAAAGTTATGTGAAAGGGAAAAGTGTGGAAGAAAAAGGTACACAAGCAGCAGGGATATACCACAGCCTGGAGAGGATTGTCAGGAAAAGGCCATTCAAAAGTGTTGGGGACTTTCACAAGGAGTGGACTGAGGCTACAGTCAGTGCATCAAGTGCCACAACACACAGACAGATCCTGGACATGGGCTTCAAATGTCGTATTCCTCTTGTCAAGCCGCTCCTGAACAAACAACAACGTCAGAAGTGTCTTACCTGGGCTAAAGAAAAACAGAACTGGTCTGTTGCTCAGTGGTCTAAAGTCCTCTTTTCTGATGAGAGCAACTTTTGCATCTCATTTGGAAACCAAGGATCCAGAGTCTGGAGGAAGAATGGAGAGGCACACACTGCAAGACACTTGAAGTCCAGTGTGAAGTTTCCACAGTCTGTGTTGATTTGGGGAGCCATGTCATCTGCTGTTGTTGGTCCACTGTGCTTCATTAAGTCCAGGGTCAACGTAGCCGTCTACCAGGAGATTTTGGAGCACTTCATCCTTCCTTCTGCAGATTAGCTTTATGGGGATGCTGACTTCATTTTCCAGCAGGATTGTCACCTGCCCACACTGCCAAAAGCACCGAAACCTGGTTCAATGACGGTGGGATTACTGTGCTTGATTGGCCAGCAACCTCGCCTGACCTGAACCCCGTAGAGAATCTATGGGGCATTGCCAAGAGAAAGATGAGAGACATGAGACTGAACAATGCAGAAGAGCTGAAGACCACTATTGAAGCATCCTGGTCTTCCATAACACCTCAGCAGTGCCACAGGCTGATAGCTTCCATGCCACGCCGCATTGAGGCAGTAATTGCTGCAAAAGGGGTCCAAACCAAGTACTGAGTACATATGCATTCTTATACTTTTCAGAGGTCCGATATTGTTCTATGTACAATCCTTGATTTATTGATTGCATGTAATATTCTAATTTTCTGAGATTGTGGATTTGGGGTTTTCATGAGCTGTAAGCCATAATCATCACAATTATGACAAATCATGGCTTGAACTATCTTGCTTTGCATGTAATGAGTCTACCTCATATATTAGTTTCACCTTTTAAGTTGCATTACTGAAATAAATGAACTTTTGCACGATACTCTAATTTTTTGAGTTTCACCTCTAAATAGTAGGCTGCCTTGTAAAACTTTCAAAAATGATTTTTAAATGCTTATAATCATTTTAATATATTTTATAAAACCATTGTACAGGACATTCCTGAAAAGGGAAGGACCAATGTTTACAGATCTGTGGTGAGCAACACGTCCAAGGAAATGACCTGCTTCAGTGACTTCCCATTTCCAGAAAGCTATCCTAACTATCTACATCACTCCTTAGTCCTGGAGTACCTCAAGGATTATGCTAAACATTTTCACCTACTGGACTGCATACAATTTAAGGTGAGGGGGGAAATAGATATTTCTGCAACAGTCAGAATAGGATTTCAACCACTAGGATATGTTAAAAATATTAGGATTCCACTATACTAGAGAGATGCCATAGAGCCATAGAAACATAGGGCTGAAAGGGACCTGCTCTGGGTTATATCACATCTTGTAAAAACATGGAGTTTACCATTTAGATTGGCTTACAGAGAAAAAGAGACACCCTGCTAGATGTGGATAGCAGTGAGAGATTTATACTAAACCGAGAATTTCTTCTGAATGCTTAATATTCTTGTTAACTTGTATGCGAAGTTGTTTTTTTTTTTTTTGAGAAGTTCTACTCTCTTATCTAGTAATCTTCACAAATCTCAATAGAACACAAAATAACAACAAAATTGGGAATGTCATCACTCTATAATGATGCCGAGTTGTTTTGTTTTGTTTGGGGGTTATACAAGACTAAGGTATACAGCATCAGAAAACATCCAGATTTCACAACTACTGGACAATGGGTGGTCTACACAGAGGCTAACGGAAAACAGGCATCAACTGTCTTTGATGCAGTTATGATTTGCAGTGGCCATTATGCAGAAGTTAATCTACCCTTAGCTTCTTTTCCTGGTGAGTTTTGAACAAATTTGCTAAATACAGCTAAGCTAATGTGATTGTGGTTCCAGCTATTTAAAAAAAAACCTGATCTTGCTGTTTTGTAGTGCCAGGTTGATTCAAAATAAAATTGATTATCCATTATTTGATCATGGGTGAAAAAGCCAAATGCATTGTTTGGGGGGGAGGGAACAAAAATGACTTTAAAATAGTACAGGACTCATGCTGGTGACTTCTACGCTTAACAAAGGTGACATGCTGTATGTGGGTCTACTTAGTCTAGAAATTGTTTATATAAAAATCAAGAGCCAAACTGGTTTGGGGGGGAATGCAAAGAGCCCATATGATATAGGTCCGTGATGGTGAACCTATGGTACGCGTGCCATAAGTGGCACGCAGAGCCATTTGTGTCAGCACACAAGCTGCAGGCAAACTTACCTCACTGCATATGTGCGTACCTCACAGCTGATTTTCGGCCAGTTTGAGGCTTTTTTCAGCCTCCCAAAGGCTTGAGGAAGGCTTCTGCAAGCTTTACAGGCCAAAAACTAGCCCCGATTTGTCACTTCCGGTATTTGGCCTCAAATCGGCTGAAAATCAGCTGTGAGGCGCAGTGCAGGTAAGGGGGCGGCGGGGGGTGGGTGGGTGGGGTGCGCATGCATAGGGGGCATGGGGGGGCGCATTGCCTTCTGGGTGCTGGCATGCGAGGGTGAGTGTGCAAGCGCGCACATAATTTTTGGCACAGGAGCCCAAAAAGGTTAGCCACCACTAATACAGGTACTCAAATTATTGCACTGGCTGCTTTGTTCGTTTTCTGCCAAAATGCTGGTTGTAAGTACTACAAAACTTTGGTCCAAGCTGGTTGAGAGAATGTTTCTTTTTATAGGAACTTTGCTGACAGCAGTGATGACGTTTACCTACAGGGGTTTCATCTGGCATTGACTAAGGTCAAGCCTTCTTGGCTGACACTTCCAATTCTTTGGAATGTTTTTCCTGCAGAGTTCAGGGTCCTGATGTTTCTATTAACTTAAAAAAGGTCCTTAAAACACATTTTGGTTTATAACTGTTGCTTAATTGTTTATTATTCATTTTATTTGCTTCACTTGTTTTCTGGCTTTTAATTGTTATTTTATCTAACATCAAGATAGTTGTTATATTATAAAATTGCCAAGACACTTTAGAGGCCAACTACACACCAACTTAAAATAATAATACAGGCAATCCTCAATTTATAACAGTTCATTTAATTATAACAGACACTAAAAAAGCAACTTATGACCGTTTTTCAGTTATGACCTTTGCAGCATCCCCTCAATCTTGTGATTAAAATTCAGATGCTTGGCAACAGATTCATATTTATGACCATTGTTGTATCCCAAGGTCATGTGATCACTTTTTGTGACCTTCTGAGAAGCAGAGTCAATGTGGAAACCTGATTCACTTAACAACCAGATTACTAACTTATCAACTGCAGTGATTCACTTAACAACTGTGGCAAGAAAGGTCATAAAATGGGCAGAAGCTCACTTAACAAATGTCTCACTTAACAACAGAAATTTGAGGTTCCATTGTGGTCATAAGTTGAGGACTACCTGTAGTCTTCCCATTGTCTTCCATAGGGGATTAGCAGAAGAAACATGCCCAACCATCAGTGGCATTCAATCAGAATAGAGCTGGAAGGGGCCTTGGAGGTCTTCTAGTCCAACCCCCTGCTCAAGCAGGAGACCCTATCCCATTTCACAGGTGGCTGTCCAGTCTTTTCTTAAAAACCTCCAGTGATGAAGAACCCACAATTTCTGAAGGCGAGATACTCCACTAGTTAATTGTCCTCACCATTAGGAAGTTTCTCCTTAGTTCTAGGTTGCTTCTCTCCTTGACCAGTTTCCATCCATTGTTTCTTGTCTTGCACTCTGGTGCTTTGGAAAATAAGTTGACCTCCTCCCCTTTGTGGCAGCTCCTCAAATATTGCCATCATATCACCTCCAGTCCTTCTTTTCTCTAGACTGGCCGTATCCAATTCCTGCAACTGTTCTTCATGTAAGTTTTTGTCCCCAGGCCCTTAATTATCTTAGTTGCGCTTCTCTGCCCTTTTTCCAAAGTCTCAACATCTTTTTTGTAATGTGGTGACCAAAACTGGATGCAGTATTCCAGGTGTGGTTTTATTAAGGATTTATAAAGAGATACTAATACTTCACGTGATTTTGATTCTATGCCTCTGTTTATACCACCAAGGATTTTATTAGCTTTTTTGGCTGCCGCGCACACTGCTAACTCATGCTTACAGTAAGTGATCGTCCATTAGGATTCCAAGGTCCTTCTTACAGTTACTGTGTTTGAGACAGGTTTCAACTAACCTCTACTTGTGCCATTGGTTTTTCCTGCCTAGGTGTAAAATCTTGCTTGTCTCCAAATTAAATTTCATGTTGTTGGATAGGGCCTATTGTTCAACTCTGTCAAGATCTTTTTGGATCCTGAGCTTGTCTTTTGGGATGTTGGCTATTCCTGCCAGCTTAGTGTCATCTGCAAATTTGATGAGTTCCCCTTTTATTCCCTCATCTAAGTCATTTATGAAGATATTGAAGAATACTGGGCCTAATACTGAACTTTCTGGTATCCCACTGCTTCCTTCCTTCCATGTAGATGTGTTACCATTAAGGACTACTCATTGAGTACGGTTTGTCAGTAATCACTGTTGGGACTATCCTGGATCATACTAAAATTTCCTTTCCAGTATAATTTGAACAATAAATAGCCAGTGGTGAAGGATATAGTGTTATGTGGTCTGGGCAAAAAGCAATTTTATTACATGTTTTTGCCATATGAGAATTGCTATCTTCCCCATATGCTTGCTTATTTTCAGTGGGAAGAATGATTCCAAAATATTTTTCTCCCATGAAGTACAGCAGACCCAGAAAGCAGAGAGGCAATTATAATGGGAATTATACTAGGGATAAAGACCTAAAGCCACCTTATCTCACCTGTTGTCTTAGTCTACCCCATTTCCACCCATTGCAGCTATTTATGTTATCAAAATTACACAATTTCCGTCATATCCTTTTTGGATTTCAATTTTTTGTAGATGAGAGATGGATCATTACAATCACTGCCTGAGGCAGAAGAATTAAATGGTATTACAGACAACAAAACAAGTTGCCTTCTTACATGGAAAAAAAAACAGAAGGAAATCAGTCCCATTTACAGTTGAATAAATCTGATAATATCAGAGCTTCAGTGGACCTGGACTATTTAGTCCAGCATAATGTTGCCAATAGATCCAACCAAGTGCTTCTAAAAAACTTTAGGGAGTCAATACAGAAAAGGACATTTTAAGGTGTTGCATAGAGGTACTATATTTGCACTCAGATGCTTTGAAGCCCCTTTGAGAGGATTAAATCCAAGGTTTTGGGCAGCCTTTTTGCATACAATTTTAAAAATGGGCCATGTAGCTGCCTCTTGCTATGGTACAGTATTTCCTCTAACTCTCTTGGCAGATAGCCTCTGATATATATGAATAAACACTGTAAAGTTTAATAAATAACCTTTGGCACTGTATTGAGTAGCTGGTAATACTGGAAAAAAGAACTGTTTTATTGTCAGGGAGAAATGTGTCATGAAACGTGACATTGTCTTCTCTCTCATTTTACAGGATTGGAAAACTTTAAAGGTCATTACATGCATAGCTGGGAATACAGAGATGCAAAAGGGTTGGAGGGTAAAAAAGTTCTGATACTTGGTGCTGGGAATACCGGAGGAGATGTTGCTGTGGAAATGAGCCGCACAGCTGCCAAGGTATCATTTGCTGAATCAATGACTGCTATGCTCCTACTCTTCAGTAGGAAATAAGTGGTCATCTTGGAGTCATCATCATCATTACACAATATCAATTTTAAAAGAGCAAAGTCAGAATCAGTGAAGCATGGTTTTGCCATATCTCTAGTGCAAAGACAGGGTCTACTTGGTGCTCTTTCACTCTTCCTTTCATGAGGAGTCATATGCTAAGTCAGGGGTGGAATTCTACCGGTTCTATAGAACCTGTTGTTATGATTCTGCACAGTTCAGAGAACCAGCAAATCATGCCCCTGGCTCTCCATCAGCCCCTCCCCTCCCCATCAGTCCTTATCGCGCATGGGCAACATCACGCACATGTCCGACATCGCTGCGTTCTTCCCTGCCCAGTCACTCCTTAAGGTAATTCTTTTTTTAATTCCCTCCCAACGATCAGCTGTTCCTACGATCAGCTGTGCCGGGATTCCCCTCGCTTACTTACTACTTCGCCCAGGAGCCTTCCCTGAGGCCCAGGAAGGCAAAAAATGGAGGGGGGCACAGCCCCCCACCCCTCTCTGTTTTTTGCCTTCCTGGGAGCAACCCCCCCCCAGAGGCTCCCCTGAGGCCCAGGAGGCCCCAAAACAGAGTGCAGTGGGGTGCTGTGTGCCCCCCCCCCATAGTCTGTTTTTTTCCTTCCTGGGCCCAGGGAAGCCTTCTGGAAGCAAAAACACCTGAGGCCCAGGATGCCCAAAAAATGAGGGGGGGGGGTTGCTGCCAAAGAAAGAAGCCACGGCCACCCAGTCACATGGCCACACCCACCTAGCCACACTCACAGAACCGGTTGTTACAAAATTTGAATCCCACCCCTGTGCTAAGTGCATGACAAATAAACATTAAGTACAACTTTTATTACTACGGTATTTTCTTTTGAGTTGCTGACTATGACTGCCATAGCTATTTCAACACAGCTGGTCTAAGCACATGCATCTCCTGAAAGCTTTCATTTTATCTGTTTTTATGGTGTTACTTTAATTGTTTTCCGTTTTCTCCAAGTATAGGTCTAAAGGCTTTGTTCAGAAAACTATTTCTGGGCTGCAAAATTCTAATGAAAGGCCTGGTGGTTGATAGACAGCACCTAAATGTTCCTGTTTTAAAACTTCATAATGATTCAATCAAATGTTCCTTGACTGCGGGTAGTCCTTGATTTAAAACCATTCAATATACTGATGGTTCAATTACAATGGCATTGAAAAAAGTTACTTATGTCTGTTTTTCACACTTACGACTGTTGCAGGATCCCCATGGACATGTGATCAGAATTTGGATGCTTGGCAAATAGTTCATGTTCATGACTATTGCAATGTCCTGAGCGCATGTGATCAACTTTTGCAACCTTCTGAGAAGCAAAATCAATGGAGAAGCCAGATTCACTTAACAACCATATTACTAATTTAACAACTACAGTGATTCATTTAATAACTATAGCAAGAAAGGTTGTAAAATGGGACAAAACTCACTTAAGAGCTGTCTCGCTTAACAACAGAAATTTGGTCATAAGCTGAGAACTTATTTCAGAATTATTGCCCCTCTTGCACTGCTTTCTAACTCTTTCTTGAAAATATTGCCAAAAGATTAGCTTGCCATATTCTGTAGCCCCTTATAGGTCATGCATTATTAGATATTACTCATGTCCTTAGTTGTAAGCCTAATACAATATTGCTCTTCCATACCATGTGCCTCCATGGGATATTGTTTTAAAGTTTTTGTTTTGGATGTGTTGTCATTCTGTCTATCTTACCAAAGGATTTAACCTCCTTTTTGCCTTTTACTGCTAGACTAGATCACTTCCCACTCATCAGTAGTTGGAAAGTTTCTAAGAATGCTCTTATCAGTTTTTCGCCCCTTAGGTCTTTCTCAGCACCAGAAATGGAGCCTGGGTAATAAGTCGCATGTCAAAAGCTGGCTGGCCTTATGATATGGGCTTCCAAACTCGATTTCTATACTACATTCAAAGACTTCTTCCTATCAGCATTAGGGACAAGTTATTGGCAAATAAATTCAATCAATGGTTTAACCATAAGAATTATGGATTAATCCCTATTAAAAGGTAATCTCTTTTACTATGCATAACATTGTATTCACCAAATGCTGAGTTTACTTACAAAATATGAAGTCTGCTAGTAAACAAAAACTAATTTGCTATTTGCAAGACAAATTTTCTTTTCCCAGTGCATTTTTAACAAACTTTGCTTCCTCAAGAGAAATATATACTGTTAAAATTGCTAGCTAGACCAGCGGTTGCCAACCGGTGGGCTGCGAGAAAATTTTGATGGTCCGCAGAGAAATGTCACCCCCAGAGCACCCCCCAAAGCAATTAATTCAGGCTGCGCAGCCACCCACATGGCCCATGGGAACCCTCCCTGCCCATTCACTCCTTACCTGGCAAACTTGCTGCTAAATTGTAATTTTTCCTCCCCCCCCCAACCATCAGCTGTTCTGCTGTGCCAGGAGATTTAGATTAGCTAGAAAGCAGGAAATCATCAGATAGCTAGTCTTTTAAGCATAGCCGAAACTTCCTTAGGATTGAAGCTTCTATTATTCAGTGCAGACTCACTGCAAGCAAATTTTATGTGACAGACTCAGGTAGCCAATGGCAGATAGATAGATCTCTGAATGATTCTGTGAGCAACTCAATCTGCCTGCCTGCTTTGCCCGATTTTGGGTAAAAGTTGCTCCTTTTTTAAAAAAAAATTCAATATTTACATAAATGGTATGTTGTGAGTTAATTTTGTGAGTTTGCTTGCAAGCAAATTTTATGTAAAAGACTGAGCTAGCTGATGGCAGATAGATAGATCTCTGAATGAATCTGTGATTCTGTGAGCAACTCAATCTGCCTGTCTGCTTTGCCTGATTTTGGGTAAAAGTTGCTCTTTTTTATAAAAAATCAATATTTACATACATGGTGTGTTGTGAGTTAATTTTGTGAGTTTGCTTACTAGAAAATTTTATGAGTTTGCTTGCCAGCAAATTTTATGTGACAGACTCAGGTAGCCAATTGCAGATAGATAAATCTCTGAATGAATCTGTGAGCAACTCAATCTGCCTGCCTGTTTTGCCTGATTTTGGGTAAAAGTTGTTCTTTCTTTATAAAAAAAAATCAATATTTACATAAATATTTATAATATTTACATACAGGCCATGCCCAGCCAGTCACATGACCACCAAGCCATACCCACAAATTAGGCCACGCCCACAGAACCAGTTGTTAAGAAATTTGAATCCCACCCCTGCCTCTGTGTGTGTGTGTGTGAGAGAGAGAGAGAGAGAGAGAGAGAGAAAGAGAGGGAGGGAGGGAGGGACGGAGGGAGGTTAAATATCTCTCTCTCTCTCTCTCTCTCTCTCTCTCTCTCCCACCAGCGTCAGCAAGCCACCATCAGTCAAAATTCATATTAGTGGTCCCTGGGATTTAAAATTATGAGTTTGGTGGTCCCTGAGGTCCAAAAGGTTGGCAACCCCTGAGCTAGACTATTTCTTGATTTTTGAGCCTTTTCCCAAAGTGTTCTGTGAACTATGTTCCTAAAGAATTCTCAGATCCATATTGGGCAACTTGTTGCTTATGATACACATAATTATTTTTTCTTTCTCAGAAAAACAGATTGTTGAACTGACCACTAACTCTGTTACAAAAGGCATTAAAGGCAGGGTATCATTTGCACATTGATGATTTAAAAGAAATGAATTTAGAAATGTTAGAACTCATCTCACAAAGAAGAGATTATACCTATAGGCCCCTGTACCCAATCTATCACCCAGACTGATCTGTTAACAATTTGATTGCCCATCTGCTGATTAATCAGCCAGTCACCTACTTACCGTAGGTCACTTCTCATATCTCATTTGGAGGATAATCTATGTCTAGCCATACTGAAACATCTGAGATCAAATTAGGAGGAGAAAGAAATTTCTATAGCAGTTGATGGCAAACCAGACTAGGATTAAAATTCTGCTGTCTTCTATCTGCTATCTAATTCTACCAATTGAAGAACAACATTTGTAAGTATTTAATATCCAAGCAAGCAATTACAGTAAGGGAGGTGGTGGAAGTGGGAGTAAAAAGGCATGCTGACATTTTTTGTGTATGCAGTGTGAGTCAATATGAATAGGTAAGTCTTTCAGAAGAAAAATAGGATAATACCTGAAAATGGGACTAGGCTAATGGGGATAGTTGAGCTAACAGTGCTTCTTTCTACTTTTGTTCTTTCCGACAGTTCATTGTCAAACATCATTATAAATGACGAACTGCCCCTCTGCATCCTCTGTGGTTCAGTGGTTGTAAAGCCAAATGTGAAGAGGTTTACTGAGACTTCTGCCATATTTGAAGATGGAACTGTAGAAGAAAATATAGATGTGGTCATTTTTACTACAGGCTATGCTGCTTCATTTCCTTTCCTGGAAGAATCTGTTCACAATGCTTGCAAAAGTAGTACATTCCTTTATAAACAAGTATTCCTTCCTCACTTGCAGAAGCCCACACTTGCCTTCATAGGTTTTATATCAGTAACGGGATCTATTTTACCACCAGCGGAACTTCAGGCTCGCTGGGTTACAAGAGTGTTTAATGGTAAGGCTAATCTATAAACAGCATATTTCTACTTTATGTTGCTTTCCAATTTAATATTAATATTAAATGTAATACTAAAATATTCTCAGGTTTGTCTGCACCCATGTGAGCTTTAAATTTTATGAAGCCAAAAATCATAGAAATCTTATTACAATGCTACATTGTAATTAAATGGCATGTTAGTTTCTAGAATGCCAGCTAAGCAACTGGCCTCTTTATTATGAGATCCATAAAAACACAATTAGGGAGATCTTGCAAATGCATTTTTGGAGCTCATACCTTTCATAAGTTCAGCCCTCATTTTCAAGATGGTCCAGATCCATCTTTATTTGCTGTATTAATTTAGTATAGTTGTCTTCTTTAATGGATGCATATCTTGCTGTTAGCCACATTCCCAGGTATTTAACTTTTTTAGTTATCTGCATTCCATCTTTTCTGTCAGTTCGGTTTTCTGTTTATTTGTAAGATTCTTTGTTAATATTTTGGTCTTTTCCTTGTTTATTTTAAGTCCTATCACCGCACCAAACTCTTCTATTTTTTAAATTAATTTGGATCCTGTTTCTAGGGGTTCCTCCAAAATAAATACTAAGTCATCTGCAAATGCTTGTACTTTGTATTGTTATTTTTTTTTTAATCTTCAAGCCTTTTATTTCTGGGTCTTGTCTAGTCTGTCTAAGTAAGACTTCCAGGATTAATATAAATAAAAGGGGGGATAATGGACATCCTTGTCTTGTACCCTTGTTTATGTTAAATTTTTCTGTTATTTCTCTGTTTATTATCACTTTTACCATTTGGTAGGAATAAAGAGCTTGGATCATCTTTACAAAGTTTTCACCAAAATTCGTGCTTTTCAATTGTAGTATCATAAATTGTCAGTTCATATTAATAAAAAGCTTTTTGTGCATCAAAAAAAAATCAATGCTGTTTTTTGGAGAGGACTTCGTAATATTCCAATATGTTCATAATAATCCTCATGTTATTTTTCTGTTGTCTTTTAGGTAAAAAGCCAATCTGGTCAAGATGTATGAATTCATTTAAAAATCTTTTTAGTCTTTTTGAGGTTATAGAGGCAAATATTTTACAATCTGCATTTAATAATGATATTGTTCTGTAGGTTTTTTTATCTGTTTAAGATCTGTGTCTTCCTTTGGGATTAGTGTAATGTATACTTCTGTCCAAGTTTTGGGGAGTTTGACCTTTGATAATGCTTCATTGTAAACCTCCAACAGTATGGGTCCTAGTGTCTCTTGTAGTTCTGCAGGAAGTCTGTCTGGTCCAGGTGTTTTCCTGTTTTTTTGTCTTTTAATTGCTTTCGTTATTTCCATTGTCATTATTCTTTCATTTAACATTGCTCTCACTGTATCTGGTATTTTGGGTAATTCAGCCTTTTCCAGATATTGTTAAGTTGTATCTTCTGGTGTTTTTTCTTGATTGTACAATTTCCTGAAGAATTTGTAAGTTATTTTCTTCATTCTGATGGTGATCCATTCTGATGGATCCCCTTTTCATCTAGCAGTTGATGTATCATTTTCTTCTCTTTTTCTTTTTTCAACTTGTACACTAACCATCACCTTGGCTTATTTGCATATTTTAAAAAGTTTTGTTTCACCATTTTAATTTTTTGTACCATTTCATCTTGCACTATTAAGTTCAGTTTATGGTTTTGCAGGTACTTCTGCAGTTCTCTCTCTAGTCTTTTAAACTCATCTTGTAATATATTTTGCTGTTGTTTTTCTTGTTTCTTCTTGCTATGTATGTTACCACTAATCCTCACACGTATGCTTTTGCCATGTCCCAGACATTTTGTAGTGATGTTTCCTCTTTTTTTTTCTTTAAAGAAAAAATCCATTTCTTTTTCCATAATTTGTGTGAACTCTTTGTCTTTTAGGATGGTTTGATTCATTGTCCACCTCAGTTTCTTCTTTTGTCCCTTCCATGCAACTTTTATGGGATTGTGGTCTGCCCATATGTTCGTTGCTATCTCTACCTCTTGGACCTCAGTTCTCATTCCTGGGGTCATCCACACCATGTCTATTCTCGACCACGATTGATGTCTATTCGAATAGAATATGTATTGATTTACCTTTGGGTTAAGCTCTCTCCATATATCCTGCAAGCCTAATTCTTGTATTATATTGAAAAGGTTTTTGGAAGTGTTCTTGTTTTTTTATTTCTTTTGCTACTTCTGTAATCTTTCTTGACATTCAGAATTGCATTGAAATCCCCTATTATACATATATTTTCATAGTACATTTCTGTTTTTATGAAGTCTTTTGTAGAACTCTTCCTGCTTATTATTTGGAGCGTATATTGTGATCAAGAGGATTTGTTTCTGGTTTATTCTATCATTAGTATTCTCCCTTCTTCATCTGCATATATTTGTTTAGTGTTTAATGCTTCTCTAACATATAGTACTACCCCTCTTTTCTTTTGATGTGCTAGTGATGAGTACAATTTCCCAATTTTGGGGTATTGCAATAGGTTACTGTG